GGAGAGTGGTCCCTCCGGAAAGCAGATAAGGGTGGGGAGGGAAAAATGTCTTTGGTGGTGGGGTCGGATTACAGATGGCGGAAGTGTCAGAGGATGATGCGTTGGATTTGGAGGTTGGTGGTGTGGTACGTGAGGATGAGGGGGATTCTGTTTTGGTTGTTGTTGTGGGTAGGGGGTGTGAGGGATGAGTTGCGGGAGACAAGGTCGAGGGCGTTCTCGACCACTGAGGGGGGAATTTGCGGTCCTCAAAACGAGGACATCTGAGATGTTTGGGAGTGGAATGCCCCATCCTGGGAGCAGATGCGGCGGAGGTGAAGGAATTGGGAATAGGGGATGGCATTTTTGCAGGAAGGTGGGTGGGAGGAGGTGTATTCTAGGTAGCTGTGGGAGTCGGCAGGCTTGAAATGGATATCGGTTTCCAGGTGGCTGCTAGAGATGGAAACAGAGGTCCAGGAAGGAGAGAGGTATCAGAGATGGTTACTTAATCTATTGCATCCTAATCTTCACTTTAGGATTTGCATTGCGTTGCCTCACGAACGCTCTCGCCTTGGGTAACTGCTTCAACTAATTCCTAAATTCAGTTATTTTTGAACACATCACTTCAATGTATGCGTTATTTCAAAGGCAGGCTTAAAAGTTTGGTTTTCCCCCAGGGCCACTTAGCTCCTGTCCTCATTACAGCCTTGGTTCAAACATGGATAAAAGAACTAACCTCCAGAGGTGAGGTGAAAGTGACAGCCCTTGATGTCCAAGGAGCCCTAGCAAAACTGGAATGGATGGGTATCAGGAGACAAACTCTCCGATGGCTCGTCATAATTTGACACAGGAAGATGGTTGGGGTTGTTGGAGGTTAATCAGCTCAGCTCCAGGACATCTCTGCAGGAGTTGCTCAGGGTAGTATCCTCAGCTCAACCATCTTCAGCTGCTTCATCAATGACCTTCCCTCTATCGTAAAGTCAGAAGTGGGGATGTTTGCCGATGATGGCACAATGTTCAGCACCATTTGCAACTCCTCAGATACTGAAGCAGTCTGTGTCCAAGTGCAACAAGATCTGGACAATATCCAGGCTTGAGCTGACAAGTGGCAAGTGACGTTCATGCCACACAAATGCTGGGCTATGACCATCACCAATAAGAGACAATCTAACCACCACCCCTTGACATTCAACAGTGTTACCATCACTGAATTCCCCACGATCAACATCCTGGGGGGCTACCAATAGCCAGAAATTCAACTGGACTCGCCATATAAACAGTGGCTACACAAGCAGGTCAAATGCTAGGAATACTGTGGTGAGTAACTCCCCTCCTGATTCCTCAAAGCATGTCCACCATCTACAATGCACACATGAGGAGTGTGATGGCATACTCCCCACTTGCCTGGATGAGTGCATCCTCAACAACACAAGAAGCTTGACACCATCCAGAACAAAGCAGCCCGCTTGATTGGCACTGCATTCACTCCTCCACCACCAACGCTCAGTAGCAGTGTACTATCTACAATAGGCACTGCAGAAATTCATCAAAGATCCTCAAATCGCACCTTCCAAACCCACAACCACTTCCATCTAGAAGGACAAGGACATTTAGACATATGGGAATACTACCTTCAAGTTCCCGTCCAAGACACTCGCCATCCTGACTTGGAAGTATATTGCCATTCCTTCACTGTCACTGGGTCAAAATCCTGGAATCCCCTCCCTGTTGGTATTGTGGGTCAACCCATAGCAGGTGGACTGCAGCGGTTCAAGAAGGCAGCTCGTTACCACCTTCTCAAGGGCAACTAGGGATGGGCAAGAAATGCTGGCCAGCCAGCAACTCTGCATCTCTCAATGGGTGGGGTGGGGAAGAAAAGTAGAAGTAGGCCAATCAGCCTATCAAGTCTGTTCTGCCATTCAATAAGGTCATGGCTGAGTCTGCATCTCCCCCTCTCATGCCATTTAGATCTATTTGGAACCAAAACCGACTGCGTCGTCGTCGTTGTTCTGAATTTGTTTTTAGTATCAATGTTAAATTCCACTTGCAAATCTTTGATCTATGGTCTATACCTGGTATTTGCTACAGCTTGGCATCTCTCTCAAACTTCACTTTTGCATAAATGTGTTTCAATAAACGTCATCTGGCCCAGGAACTTGCATGGGAAATGTAAATCCTATATTGCAAAGTTGCTGAATTATAAAGCAACACATTCACGGATATATTCCAATCCTTTCCACCTGATAGGAAACCTCTTCTCCCAGGAATGTGTATTGGGCAGTCGACATTTAGATTTTTAAAAATCGTCAACTATCACAATGGTGGCAGCTAATAGGCACGTAGAGGAAGGAAGATCTGAAGTGAAGGTCATTCCAACACTAGTAACCAGTGACTCTGCTGCATCTAGAGAATCTTTTAGATATGTTACCAAACTTGATTAGTGGAGAAGGCGCAATGTTGAAAGCAAAAATGTGTAATGTAAATAAATTTGCTCTTGATGAACCATGGATTTTTTTTTTTTTACTGAAATAGTTTATTGTCTTGTAGCAGCAACGTGCAAGGTTAGAGGAAAGGTTCCAGCTCTGCCATACTTGGTTATGAAGAAGGCGTTTAAATCTGCTTTTATACTGCATGACTTGAAAACGTGCCAATCTGATGTAGATTCTAGCCAATCATCACCTCAAGACAAGGGTGAGTAGAAATCCTGCTCAGTGTGAATACCAGATATTTGTGGATAGATATTTTAAGTTAATAGGTGTTCACATTTCTTAAGTAATACCAGAAGGCTTTGGAAATACTCATCGCTAAGTGATGAGAGGAGTAGAGTTAATGTTTTGGGTCTGACTTTTTTTTATTAAACTAAAGCTGCTGACATACACTGGAGTTCAGAGCTGTAGTTGAGTATGTGGCCAGTCAAGCCTGCTCCACTTAAGACAATCATGGCTGATCTCGGGGCTTCAACTCCAATTCCTGCTCCTTTTTCATGTCCCCGACAGACCAAAAATGTGTCCAGCCAAGCCTTTAATGTATTCAGTGGTCCAGCATCCACAACTCTCTGGGTTAGAGAATTCCACAAGTTTGCAACCCTTTTGAGTGAAGTAATTTCTCTGTCCTAAATGACCAACTGCGTATACCCAATCAGGCCCCTTGTATGTCTTTGAGACCATCTCCTATTCTTCAAAGTATCAGAATATAGGCCCAATTTACTCGGCTGTCCATTGTGGGACAGCCTCTTCATTTAGGGGCCAGTTTTGATGAAGGGTCATTGGACCTGAAATGTTGACTCTGCTTTTTCTCTATTGATGCTGCCAGATCTGCTGAGTTTCTCCAGCAATTTTTGTTGTAGTTTTGGATTTCAAGCATCCACCGTTCTTGGTTTTATTTTCAAGGTGATGTTGAAATTGTATAAGATACTTTGTAGATCTCAGGAGTATTGTGGCACCTAAACTACAGTAATTACAGGAAATACTTGAATGCATTGGAGAGAGCAGAGTAACTTACAGGAGTGGTTCCGGGAATGAGAAACTTTAGTTATGTGGATAGCAACATACATCACCTCACTTCTCTGCAGTGAATCTCAACTGTCATCTATCTACCCACTCCAAGTTGTAAATGCCATACTTCTCTTCCACGTTTTTATCATCTGCCACATAAAACACTAGTGCTGGCACAAAATTCACAAGAAAAAGAATTAACTTCTGCAAACAAAGCAGTACTGCAGTACAAAATGCATGTCCTTAAATTTGCAGTTAGAGAATCGATTCTAATTTCAAAAGATGAAGGTTTTTGTTTCAAGCTACTTTTTGAGGGGGGAGAAAAGACTCAAAACAAGCAAACTGTTGGGGATTCTGGGATTTTGAAGTTTATGGGTTCCTAGTAACTATTAAAAGTGTGAAAAAGCTCTTTTTCACTGCAGAGAATTTGCTACCTCTGCATCTTTAAGCTCACCCAGAAGCCAAGTTACAGAATATCAATTGACATGTTTCAGTGCGCAGAACATCTTCAAGTTTGTTAACTACTGTCTGCACGACTGAAGCATGATTACCTTTTACCTTTTTAAGCCCATCCCTTGCAGTCTTGTGTGGAGTACAAATTTGATATTGCTCCAGGTTGTACTGCAGTCATCTCTCTTGCTCTCGCTCACTCTCTCTATCCTCCCACTGCCCGCTTTCTCCCCCCCCCCCGCCGCCTTACTGAATCCATACCAAAAAGCCACTGAGCAGTGGCTATCATCCAAAAGTACCGAATGGGAAACTGCCAAAAAAAAAATCTGATGTTAGAAACAAACCTGAAATAACTGCATCTTTGGAGAGATAGAATGAAACATTTTACAGTGCTTTTCAGTCACATAAACAAAACACCCATGGAAGTAAGAGGCACTCAGTAAATATTTGATACATGTGTGAAGCCTGTTAAGTGATTCCTGTATGCATTCTGCAACAATCAACAATATTTAACCTTCAGATATGTATATAAAAGTCTGCTTGCGGTTCAAATCTGCATCCCCTGCCCTACCCCACACTTTTATTTGTCATTGTATTTTTTTTCCCCCCACCTGTTTTATGGTTGTCTTATCTGGTCTTTGATTTTGGAGTGGGTGCGGGGAAGGAGTGGGAATGCACTCCCCTACATCAGTTGAGCAGGTTTTTCTTCTCTTACAATAGTGGATAAGAGATCAGGAAATGTTTAGCATTCACACAGCAATTGGAAAAACCATTCTCTCAGCTGCCATTGTTTATCCTCTCATTTTAACTTGGAATACCTCCACATGGGGTAACATTCTGTCACCTGAGCACTTTAATGAGTCTTGCTGAGATGAGGAGCTCAATATTTGAAGAATCACCTTGAGCACCGCTTTCCTTATCAACACCATCCATTATTACAGCATTTGTTATACTGCAAGCCATGTTGTATCCAATGGCTTTTACTTCACAATTGTTATCAACAATTTTTTTTAATAAAGCTGTATGCATAAGAATATTAAAGGTAACTGTTTAAAAGATTAGTTTTATAATTTGGTGGGTGGTGCTGTCCAGACTATTATTTCTCATCTCTAATTGCCCTTCATGGTGTGAGCGGAAGTAATGGTGTGAGGTTTGGAGAGGAATGGGCATGTGGTTGTATTCATTGTCCTTCGAGATGGATGAGGTTGTGGGTTTGGGAAGCTGTTAGTGGAGCCTTGGTGAGTTGTTGCAGTGCCTCTCATTGGTGTGGCACACTACTGCCACTGTGTTGATGGTGAAGGAAGTGAATGATGAAGGTGGTGAATGGAATGCCGATCCAGTGGATGTCAAGTTCCTTGTGTTGGAACTGCACCCATCCAAGCAAAGGGAGAATCTTCCATCATACCCCTGATTTATCTTTTTATGCCCTGCTGACAGGCTTTTGGAGTGACAGAAGGTGAGTGGCTCACCATGGAATTGCAAGCTTTCTACCTGCAGTTTTGGCCGCAGTATGCATAGCTGGTCCGGTTGAGCCTCTGGTCAGTGGTAACTCCCAGAACTTTGAGTATGATAATGCCATTGAATGTTAAGGGGTAATGATTAGATTCTCTCAACAGCAGTTCATTGTCGGAGCAACAATGATCGTGTTTGTCTGCATCTGAAGTTCTAATGTACCTGACTTTCTACAGGTGGCACCAAATCAACCACTCCTACGAATGAATGGACAATGCTTAATGACTTGTGGGCAAACACCTATCTGAAATTCCAGCCCCTCTGGAAAATACGAAATTACTTTGGTGAAAAAATTGCACTTTATTTTGCTGTGATGGAAACACTTCTAATTAGTCTCATTATCCCAGTGCTCCTTGGCTTGGGTGTTTTCATTTATGGTCTTTATTGCAGGTATATAATTTTTCTCTATTACTTTTCAGCAGAATGTGATTTATGTTTTTGTGAACTTTATATGCTTGAATGGTATAATATGGTGGTACAATTTGTAGTTTCCAGATCACCACTCCCAAACATCACAGCTCAGAATAAATAGCAGTGTTTGCTGGACGACAACTTTGAGGTGTTTTGACATCCTACTGGAACATTCCACAAGGTGGAATGACAGACTTGTAACAGTCAATTATCCTAATAGTGAGAGCTTAATTTATCACCTTGGGGGAGGGGAGGTGAGCTCAGGCTAGTTGCTTATTTATTGGATACACCGGAGATGTTCAGAATTATCATTGCTTAACTTACAACTATAGCAAAACTCTGCCTAAAGAGCAGTCCTTTTCCTCCATAACACAGACCCAGCTGTGTGAATGAACATAGCTGCACGAAGGTCCACTCTCCTTCTGCAGTATTGCACAGTCTCCCCCTTTAATATCTTGAATGAGGTGAAATGACAATGGGATAGTTGTCAGTTAGGGTATGTGATGCTTGTGAATCAATATGGACCCTCTTCATGGAAGGTATAGTAAATGCTCATTCCACCCCATAAGAGTTAAATTTCCTTATAGGAAAGGATATTAGCCAGTACAAAAAGCTCAAGAGTCTTGTGGCTGATGTATTCTTAAAGGACTGCGCCAGATGACTTTAGAATTACTCCTACAGTTCATTCTCCCAACTAAGCCTCAGCAACTATCTACATGCACACAGTCTTAAAATTATGAATTGCATCCTCCAAATAAGTGACTGACCATTTAGGGCTGAGATAACAATACACTTCTTTACTGAAGGTACTTGTTCTCTTGGAATTCTTTACCTGTAGCACTATGTAAATGGTCAGCTGTTGGTTATACTACAACGGGTTGATTTTTAAGATTTTGGGATATGAGGGAAATTGAGAGATATGTGGACAGTGCCAGGGGTAGGAATGTGTTTTCTGAGGCATAAGTTGAGTCATGCCCTTACAAATTGTGCAGAGACAAAATGGTTAACTTTTGCTGTTCGTTCTTGTCACTGAGTAGTCATATCTTTTCAAGCATCACTAGTATAAAATCGATACACATTATTTTGTACAGAACAATTTTGAAGTTTGTGCACATTGTAAACAATTGTTGGCAATAAAGAAAGCTTTCTTTCCGTTGCCTCGAATGTGGGGTAAAACCTTCAGAAACCTTTTTTACTATAATGAAGATGTTTAAATAGTCTCTTTCATAATTAACCCCACCCCCACCACCAATAGTTCAGTTGCAATGCATCTTAAGTTGGTTTGCAAATCTCAATTTTTTTGAGTTTGAGCTTTACATTCCTAAAGTCCAGATCTTTGATCATGCATTTTGCTTTAAAATATATTTGCAGATTATCTCCTTTCACAGTCTTCTATGCTTTCAGGTGAGGCATTAAACAAAAGTCCCATTTGCTGTCTTGAGCAGGTTCAAAAGATAGCATGGCACCATCTCAAGGAGTTCTCCCTGATGTTCTGGCCAATACTTTATCCTTGAATGAGATAGCAAGGTGTAGAGCTGGATGAACACAGCAGGCCAGGCAGCATCCGAGGAGCAGGAAAGCTGACATATTGGGTCTGGACCCTCCTTTTATCCTTGAGTGAGCCTTATTTAAACCAGTCTTGCTTAAACCAATTATAAGCAAAAATAAAAATTGCTGGAGAAGCTCTGCAGCTCTGGCAGAAGTTCTGAAGAAGGGTCCCTGGACCTGAAACATTAACTCTGCTTTCTCGTCACAGATGATGCTACACCTGCTGAGCTTATCCAGCAGTTTCTGTTTCTGTTTCAGATTTTCAGTATCCACAGTTCTTTGGTTTATTTTGATGCTTTAAACCAGTTATTTGGCTGTTATTGCATTGTTGTTTGAGAGCCTGGCTGTGTGGAAATTGGCTGCGTGTTTCAGGTATAATAGTGACCACATTTCGAGCCCATCACTTGAGATTTAGGTAACGTAGGTCCTCACTTTAAAGTTGTGGTTGCTTTCCTGAAAATCGTGACTTTGAGTAAAACAACTTTAGGCAAGTATTGGTTCCCAGAGAACAAAATTGTTAAACCTGTAGTTAGATTCTGTGTAGGATCTTGTTTCTGAAGGAAAAAAACATATAAAGCATTTTGCCCTGCAAGTTGTAAATATTTCTAAATCCTTATTGGTAATGACATCTTTAAATTTAAAGATACAATCAAAAACTGTAACTTGCTGCATACAGTGCAAGTATGCATTTCTTGCCGGTAATCCTGCTTATCAAAGCACCTGCTCCCTAACACTTCTAGTTGTTACTGAGTTGTGGGTCGTACACCATACCCCTTTCCCTGACCCATTCTCTTGACACTTGCTTATTTGGACTTGCATTCCCATTTTAAGATTCGGCTCCAAAAAAACTGGAGCTTTGAGTTAGAAGTGGTCAGACTTGTTGTGATGCATTTTTTTTAATAGAAGTGCCATCCCCTTTCCTGAATCCATGTGGCAAGTGAGGACTTTGGCGAAGAGCAGTATTGAAAGCTAATTTTACAACAAAAGTTGGATTATAGAATCCTCGGCAGTCCTAGCATATCGGCACACTCCCACAACACCAGAGCTCCAGCTTCACGTTAAATCTGGGTCTTTATTGGGAACACCAGTCAAAGAGAAGGAAGTGGCATGTTGGGGAGGGGGTGAAATGCTGCAACATGGTGCTCCAGGATTAGAGGAGGTGCCAGTCAGATCTCAGGAAATTTTGTTATGAGAAATCTCTTGATGCTTAACAAGATTACAGACTTCATGAATTTACCAACCTCAAACTGAAACAAACGTTATATGGGGCAGCTTTAAATGAGGACTTAGGGTTCCTTTTTCTGTTTTAATATAATTCTTCTTATCCTTTTCAGTATATCTTGTTACAATGCCAGCAATGACCTTGATGAGATTTTGCGTGGACATAATTTCAACAATATCTGTTTGTCTTCAAACTTAATCGCCGAAGTGGTAGACAAGGCTGCGGATAGAATTCGGTAACGATTCACATGACTTTTTTAGATACACTTATGTTTAAATAAATACTGCAAGTGTTTCTAATCCATTTAACTTGAATAACTATTGGTATATTATTATTTACTTATACACTGAGTCTTTACACAAGTTTGTTGCAAACTTTAAGGTATCACACTCTTACAGGTTATACTTTTTACATATTTGCTTGTTATGGGCTCTGGAAGATTTTGCAGTGCTAATGAATAATTGTTCAGAGTAAATGGTATTGTCACTTTAGATTATGTCACGTGTTTGATGGAGGATTTTGGTTAATTTCAGCTCCTCTTTCTGCATAAACTTTCTATCCTGTCACCACCATATTCAAGTGCCTCTCGAATGAAGAGTCTTTCTTCCCTTAGAAAATCATTTGAGATATTATCACTTTGTGTTTTTTGACATAATCCTAATTACTACATTTTTGCTATTTCACTTGATGTAGGAATTGGCCCCTCTGCTAGTCAAACTAGTTCATTGCAAACCTGTGATCTAACTCTGTAACCCCGTTATCATTTACACTTTAGCCAAAATGAACAAACTAAATTAATTTTAATGAACTGTATAACACAACACCTTGAAATGCAAATTCTATCCTTTCAGATCAGCAATTTCTTTCCGCCGTAATTCTTTTTAATCCACTTGATCATCACTCTTGAACAAGCCTGTATTCTGTTTAACTGTCAGGATCTTTCTAGTCCTGTTTGGTTTGATAAATTGGGTTCTGAGCCTGAGTCCAAACCAGCAAAATATTAAATGTCAACAAAATGCTGACCATGAGGGTGTCATGAAAGCGGAATTAAAAATTATTCCTGGTTTAACAAATTTATTTAATGACAAGATTTCATTTTTGTTAAAATGAGTTCCCTGGATAGTTGTCTGATTCTTTTTATTGGGATCGGTCAGTGACGCCCTCATCCCATGAATGAATAAAGGATTCCACCTGAAATGATACTATAACTTTGGTCTGGTTGCTTTCATGAAGAAAGGCTGAGACAGAGGAGCAGTGGCCTGCCCAAAGCCAATAAAGTAAACAGCTTGAGGCCTTGGGGTTTTTTGGTAAAGTTGGAACAATAGAAGCAACCTGAATAGGTGGGGCCAAGCTTCCAAAGAACCAGGAGTTTTAGTTTTGGCTATCAGCAGTTGCTGGGGTCTTGAAGCTGGGTATAGAAGCTGTTATTCCTCTCTACAGCCATAAGTTGTATGTGAGACTATCTATTTTACTGAATTTGCTTTTGTTAAGGGTGTGTTTGTGGGATGTTAATATATTTGAACAGTTAATTAGTTAATATTTTAAGGATTTCAATAGAGTAACAGTTAAGCCAATTATTTTTCTTATTTTGTCTGTATTTTAACTATAGCGTTTTTTAAAAAAATAGTAGTGTTAGAGTAGTTTGACCAATCAAAATACATCTGGAGCGCAACACCTTACACTTGCCTCTATAAAATAAAAATTTAGGGTCTACACTATTTACTTAATGTTTTGAAGGGGTTTGGTCTGGTCCATAACATGCCTTTGTTTGTTTGTTTGTTTGTGGTGCTTATGACTGGGGTAGAGATGAATTCTAGGGGAGCTTAACCATTATCTTACCATTATGACAGACAAATTGTAAAAACAGTTTCCTCTTAAATTTTCCATAGCATAAATATAGATTGGCCACTATGGTTAACAGGATTAACAAATCTAACGCAAAAACATTGCAGAGTCCCACCATATGAGTCAGCTCCAAATAGCTGAGAAACACTTTCCACCATACTGGAACCCTGCATAAATGTTATCAACTTGACACACTTTAACTTTAGAATAAGCAGTCTAATCAAAGATTCACCAAAGAAGAAATACTCCTCTACCAACTGGTGTTACTATGAAGCTTCCTTCTCAACCTCTCGCCTTGCCCAGGGCATGGTGACCCACAGATTAAACAGCCACTAGTTCTTTGAGAGCTGCAGTGTGGCCCTCTGGGATGGGGTGAGAGAAGCCATTTCCCATGATGGCTTTACAGAAGACTTTTTTTATGCCCATAATTGTAGAATTGCATTAAGGTTACCAAAGCTCTTCAAATCTCCATTTGTAGGTCTGAAACTTGCAGTATCTATGTTCTCTGGAACCTAATTGTCGAATGTACTAATTTTCTTAACGAGAGTAGTACATAGTTTACATACCAGTCCATTTAGTTGTCCTCAACTGGAATTTCATTTCATCATGTGACCTTGCATCCTTCAATGAGTTATTTTACCAAAAGTTTCTTGCAACCTCCTTGCTGACAGTTTCTGCAAAGTCTTTTTCCAGATTTTTGCAAATAAAGGTCAAGTTGCCATAGCCTGACAAAATGAGGGCTGCAGCCTCATTTAGAGAAACTGGTGGTAGTTTAACTTGAGGGTCACCACGCCTCATGTGAAGTGAGAGGTTGAGAAGGAGAATCCTTCATGATGACCTCAGCAGGAATTGAACCACCACTGTTGTTGATACTCTGTGTAGCAATGCCAACTGAGCAAACTGCCTTCCTGTGGCATAAAGCATTTAGTTAACTGGATTAATCACTTCTTCTCTTTTCTGAGCTGGGTGGAGTTTATAGTAATGTCAAACAATTAGTTCAAATTTAACTTTAGTGTGTTACTAAAATAAACATTTCAGTAAAACGTTTTGGCTCTTTAGATTTTTCTCCCAATATAACTTTTTTAATTGCTGTTATCTTCTGGAATAAAGATCACCCTACTGTAGTTGTCAAAAGTAGAAAAACGATGGACATAATTGTGGTTCATTTGAGTCATATTGAGTTTGAAAACCTGGTCCTTTTTGAGTAAAATGAGGTACTGTGTATTGGTGATCCATCAGGATGGATACTCAGTGAGGCAAATAATTTTAAGGAACAGTTGAAGAACAAAAGATAGTTTTTTTTTTGATCTGACTGACTTAGTGAAACAGCCTTTAATGCAGTAGTGTGTTCCTGTTATGAGTAGATAGTGTTGTTGCTGATGATTTATAGTACTCCCAAGAGCCACATGATATTTTAATCAAGTGATGTGTTGTGTTATTACAGGGATGTATGTAATAATATTGCTGGAAGGAAAATTATAATTGAAAAAGCACTTAATACAACATGTACTAATAAGGCCTGGAGAAATGCAAAATTTCAGTAAGTACTTGACTCCTAATCAGCGAATTCGGAATCTGTATGTATATCTGTATTTTTATTTTGATATCATTTTAAAAAAAAATAATTGGAAGCCAAATAGTGAGTGTGTGTGACTTTTTTTTTAGAACTTCCTATGTCCATGTTTGCAATCACATTCACCTATGTAAGCTTTTAATGTAGATGTTGAAATTGAGAAACTGCAAGGAGTTTGAACATTCTGCTCCCTAATGCGATATTCATAGTATGGTGTAGAATTGAAATAAGTTATTTATACCCATGCTATTACTGTTAGCCCCATTACTTTATAAATGTTTTCATTGAATCCCTTTTTATTTAACTTAATATCTCTGAACAAATTTATTAGAAAAATAATTACTTTTGGAGCAGGTGGGACTTGAACCTGGGCCTCCTATAAGAGAATGACCAGAGAAAGGGTAGGGAGATGAAGGATTGTAAAGGGAGTTTGTGCACGGAGCTTAAAGAGATAGGAGAGGTCCTTTAATGAATACTTTTCTTTGGTATTCACAACTGAGAGGGACCTAGTTGTAGAGGAGGACAGTGTGAAATAGGGTGGTAGGCTAGAGGAGGTCGATGTTAGTAAGGAGGATGTGCTAGGAATTTTGAGGAAGTTTAAAAATAGGTAAGTCCCCTGGGCCTGATGGGATTTATCCAAGAATTCTATGGGAAGTGAGGGAAGAGATCACAGGACCTTTGGCGATGATCTTTTCGTACTCCCTGTCCACGGGTAAAGTGCTGGAAGATTGGAGAAAAGCAAACGTCGTTCCAGTGTTCAAAAAAGGAGTAGGGATAACCCTGGAAATTACAGGCCAATTAGTCTTACATCAGTGGTAGGCAAATTATTGGAAAGGGCTCCGAGATAGGATTTATGATCACTTGGAAAGGCACAGTTTGATTTGTGATAGTCAGCATGTATTTGTGAGGGGTAGATCACGCCTCACAAACCTTTAGTGAATTCTTTGAAGACGTGACCAAACATGTGGATGAAGGTAGAGCAGTGGATGTGGTATACATGGATTTAAGTAAGGCCTTTGATAAGGTTCCCCATGGTAGGCTCATGCAGAAGGTAAGGAGGCGTGGGATAGGGGGAAATGTGGCAGATTGGATTCAGAATTGGCTGTCCCTTAGACAAAGGGTGGTAGTGGACGGAAAATATTCAACATGGTGCTCAGTTACGAGTGGTGTACCACAAGGATCTGTTCTGAGTCGTCTTCTATTTGTGATTTTTCTTTTTGTAAATGACGTGGATGAGCAAGTTTGCAGACGATACGAAGGTGGGTCGCGTTGTGGACAGTGCGGAGGGCTGTTCTAGGTTACAAAGGGACATTGATAGGATGCAGAGCTGGGCTGAGAAGTGGCAGATGGAGTTTAACCCTGAAAAGTGTGAGGTGATTCATTTTGGAAAAACAAATTTGAAAGCAGAATACAGGGTTAACAGAAAGATTCTTGGCAGTGTGGAGGAGCAGAGGGATCTTGGGGTTCATGTCCATTGTTCCCTGAAAGCTGCCACCCAGGTGGATAGAGTTGTTAAGAAGGCGTATGGTGTGTTAGCTTTCATTAATAGAGGGATTGAGTTCAAGAGCCGTGAAGTTATGCTTCAGCTATACAAAAGCCTGGTTCGGCCATATCTGGAGTATTGTGTCCCGTTCCGGTCGCCTCATTACAGGAAAGGTGTGGAAGCATTGGAAAAAGTGCAGAGGAGATTTACCAGGATGTTACCTGCAATGGAGGGAAGGTCTTACGAGGAAAGGCTGAGAGATCTAGGGCTTTTTCTCTTTAGAACGACGAAGGATGAGAGGTGACTTGATAGAGGTGTACAAAATGATCAGAGTTATAGAGTGGACAGCCAGAGACTTTTTGTAGGGTGGAGGTAGCTATTACGAGGGGAATGTAGTTTTTAAAGTGAATGGAGGTAGATATCGGGGAGACGTCAGAGGTAGGTTCTTTACTCTGGTCGAGGCATGGAATGCATTGCCGTAGAGGATAATGGAGTCGGCCTCATTAGGGGCATTTAAGTGTCTATTAGATGGGCATATGGATGATAATATAAGGTAGGGGTGGAGGTTAGATAGACCTTAGGATTAGGGTAAGAGTTTGGCACAACATTGTGGGCCGAAGGGCCTGTGCTGTACTGTTCTATGTTCCTATCCAGAGGTAGGGACATTACCACTTCACTGCAAGAGGGCCCCTAAATGGTTTTCATTTTATTCATGGGCTGTAAGTAGTGTTGTACGATTGACTTGACTTCTGCACATATTAGTATTCATTAATGTGTGTTTGGTAACAAGGTGAGAGATGATGATAGTGGTAATGTCAGAGGACTTTAATCCAGAGGCCCAGGCTAATATTCTGGGATCGTGCTTCCATATCCAGTCACAGCAGCTCGATTATGCAATAAATTAAACCTGCAACACGCATTACTTGTCATTATAAATTCATCTGGTTCGCTAATGGCCGTTTTTAAGTCAGTGTTTTCCTCTTGATAATAGACGTTATATCAAATGTTGTTCCTTTTTTGTTTTTTCTTTCTTTTGTAGTTTTCCTCTTTTGACGTTTTATTTGTTGTTGAGCCTTGCTCTTTCTATTTTGTCCCTAACTTTTGAGCATTGCTATTAATGTTTCTGTTTTAAATTAATTTTGCTATTTCATTTTTCATCTTTCAATGTCTTTCTCTTTCCAAACTACAACTCTTGTGCATGTTAATAATCATTCTAGTTTATAGAAACAGCCATTCCCAGTGTTTCTTTAATGTAGCTCTTTCTTTTCTGTTTCAATCCCACTCTTGCAAGCTTTGTACTCCTACAGCTGGTATTTCTGTTTTCCAATCCTCATTGGTTCATAATCCTACTCCATTCTTTTGAGAAGAACAAAACCATTTCTACAACACAGATTTAAAAACAGTGTGTGGACCATAAGTCAAAATTGAATTACATTTCTGTGCCTTGCCCTTTCTTTCAAAGCACATAGTAGGCTGATTTGTTGTCCTGTCAGTCATGCACTACATTTACCTAATACAACACATGCTTCAGCTGTGCTAGAACGATGAAGGATGTAAAATCTTAGTTATTTTCAAGAATCTTTTAATTGTGTTCATAATTAAACATTTCATGAACTGAACCTTTCTTCACTGCTGTACCTAAAAGTAAGCTGTTTAAATGAGAATGTCCTTTTTGTGGTTTAGCCAGTGATCCAGGGGAAAAAAAATTCACAATGTGATCAAACTTATATTTGTATTTTGAATAATACGTGCTGCATAATGTTGAATCTTCCACTTTGAGGCCTGAAATGCTGTAAAATATCATTTTGTCTAGCATGAACATTACAGCCTTGTGGACATACAATTCTGAAATATTGAATGATTCCTGACTTAAACTAAGTGATTATAGCAATAGTGTATTACTGTGCTGCTTATGCTAGTAGGATGGGTTTTCTGAAATATGAATAATCCTTGATACTTTTTTCCTCCAATAGGAACAGCCTCTGCATCAACTAAATGTTGTTTTAATATGTCATATTTAATCCTGAGATGGGCTGCTACTAACCTATCCAGACCATTACTAAAACTGCTGATTTTTCTATTTCCGTAACACCTGTGATTCTTTTTCTTAAGCTAAACTCTAGCTGAAATCCTCACCCAAGCCTTTGTTACATCCAAACTTGACTATCCAGCACACCTGAGGTTCTCCAGAATACTAAATAAAAACCAAAAGAACTGCAGATGCTGTAAATCAGGAACAAAAAACGTTGCTGGAAAAGCTCAGCAGGTCTGGCAGCATCTGTGGAGGAGAAAACAGAGTTGATGTTTCGGGTCCGGTGACCCTTCCTCTTCTGAGGAAGGGTCACCAGACCCGAAACGTTAACTCTGTTTACTCCACAGATGCTGCCAGACCTGCTGAGCTTTTCCAGCAACGTTGTTTTTTTTCCTCCAGAATACTCCTGTCCATATCTAATTTTCCCAAAAAAAAAAAAAAATTTTTGCCCATCTCTGTGCTCATTGCTTAATTGGAAGCTCATGTAGGTCAATCTAATTGCATCCAGCCTCAAAACCTGAAAAGATCTGCCTCTTTGCAGCCTAACTCTTGAGCATCCCCAATTTTATTTATTATCACTCCAATCGTGGCTCTGGCATTCTCTTTCTATGTCCCTCCTCACTTTTTTTCCTTTAATTTGCTTCTCTTATACCAACCTCTTTTTGGCTACAGAAGAAAATATAGGCAGATGACCAAACCTTGTGTCAATGTTAAAATTTAACACTCCTTTTAAGTGCATGCCTTAGAATGCTTTACTAGTTTAAAGGTACTGCATTAATGAATGTTTCAGTAAGCTTAACTTTTTTCTTTTTAATGTAGTTTTTTTTTAAAGAAAGTATGGCTTCAAATAGAATCTGTACCTTTGTACACCCCTATTATCTGTGACATCCTTTTTTAAATTCAGTGGAGGAGCAATCAATTTGATTTTTTTTAGACTAGTTACTTTGATATGATTGAATTTCAAAAGCAGCATTATTAATTGACTATTAGGAATACGGTCGTAACTATGGTAACTTGATTTTTTTTTTGCCACTGGACTAGTGAATTCTATGCAGTACTTCAGCATCAGGAAAGTAGGATAAACCATCATTCATAGTTTCCATATCTTGTATCCTGTGTTGCAATCTATTGATTTTTCTCCAGGCCTCTGCAGCTATCTCCAGTCAACTCTTCACACACCATCTCTTCCAACCATCTTATTTTTCTTTCTTTTTTTTTCCAATTTTGTGCCGTACCAATAAGGGTAGCATCTGTTGCCCTTGCGTGGTGAACTGCCAGCCTGAACCACTGCTGTCAGCCTAGTGCATATACTCAACATTGCTATTTGGAAGACAGATTCTGGCTTTTTGTTCCTTTTACTGCTGGTAGTCAGCGACAATAGCTCTGAACCAGGATGTTGTGAAGTTTGGAGGGAACTTGCATGTAGTGGTGTTCTCATGCATCTGGTGCCCTTGTCCGTCCGGGTTCCATAGGTCATGGGTTTGGTGAATACACTCAAAGGAGCCTCGGTAAGTTGCTGCTGTGGGTGGCACATTCTGTTGCCACTATGTCCCAGTCATAAAAAGAATGAATATTTATGATGATGAAGGGGCTGCTGACCAAAGGATTGTCTTGTCATGAATGATATTGACTTCCTTGTGACTGTCTATCCAAAGAAAATGGTCTCATTAAAAATTCTTCTTCCAGTTTATTTTTAACCAGTATCATTGCAAGTAAGTGACAATTAATCTATTGTAATTTTATTTTGTCACAGGATTTCTTCTGATGATTTCTTTACGGTGATCCAATCGTCTTTTGATAATGAAGCAACACCCTGGTTTGGTCTCGTCGTTTGCCTGTGGGGTAAGGAATTTTGTCAATAGTAAGTGATTACTATTTTGAAATAACCGTATACTGTAGGTGACGTTCATAACTAAAGTTGACTTGATGCTCATAAAATGGTGAACAATTTTAGCCTGGTGTGAATTCAAATTTCATGGATTTCAATCATAGCATTATTGACTCTCTTTTAAACTTGCAACTCCATCCAGATTTTTACTGATCAAAGTTTGAAAATTAAGAATTGGCATCCTTGACTGTTATGGCTCACTAGGGTAGATAGAAATTGAGCCCTGCTCTTCCCAAAATGGGCACAAAGTTAAAGATGGCTTGTAAGGTTATAAAATTTACAGAACTTTTTTTTCTAAAATGCAAAATTTTGTTTGTTTTAGACTCAAGTTGACAAACACGTGACCAGCTTTCTATACTTAACAAGCATAGAATGTATTTATAAATTAGATTTTAGCTACAGGTAAATGATTATAAGACATCAACATGTAATTCCACTAGTTAAAATTTTCCAACCAACTTAACCCCTGCACGTGCATGTACAAACAAACCCGGACAGATCCCCAAAAAAATGGTGTAATGGGTGGCAGGAAATATTGGAAGGCCATTCAATTATCCCCATGGTTCACTGGGATGATCCCTTAGTTTGTCAGGACCTGCTCCTCAATCTTCTTTCTACAGGTCTTCTCAATAGCTTGCAGGAGGCATAAGAGTGGTTCATTCTTGGTCTCTATTGGATAAATGTCACAGCCTATGGCTTTATTCAGACTTTTTGTTTACTGAAGAGAAAAGGATAGCAACTTTTTTCCTTTCTGGAGGTCCAGTGTCTTCTGCAAACATTCACACTCAAAAGCTGCTCAGCTACCTGGGAGTCAATCTCACAGCTGTTGACTGACAAAGGCTTTGTCTGTCATTAACAACTAGTCACCAGCCCCTACAATTTCCCTTTTATGCGCTCTCTCTCTTGTGCGCCCCTCTCTCTCGTGTGTGTGCTCATCCCATCCCATCCCCACTACATGAATAAACATCAGTATAAATAGAAAATGAAGAACTGTGGATGCTGGAAATCTGAAACAGAAATTGCTGGTGAACTTCAAGTTTGCCAGCATTTGTGGAGTGAAAACAGAATTAATGTTTTGGGTCCAGTGACACTTCAGAACTGAGTTCTTATGACCGAGGTAATGTCCCTAACTCTCAGCAAGGAGACCTGGATTCAAGTCCCACTTTTATTCTAGAGGTTTATTGTACTGTCTCTGAACAGATTGATTAGAAAATATCTACAGATATGTAAAAGTCTCCCCTTTTTTAACTGATAATTATGAGCACCACTCAGCATGGAAAGACTGGAGTAGGAACTGTGGAGCAATGGTAATAGAACCGGACACCATGAAACAATCCAGGTTTAATATTCTGTGTTAATTATAATTTCAACAAAACACTATACAATCATCAAAACAAAGGTACTGGTAGTTTCTAAAATGAATCTAGCAGCATTTTCTTCTCCTACCGATCAATATATTATCAAGTTCTTCCTTCTTTTAATTTTATTTAAAATTTAACAGATGTTACCACAGCATTTAAGTTTTCTGCCAAGGCTCCCACTGATCTGTCAAACTGAGGATTTAAAAACTAACATTCACCCATTCTGCTTTATTTTTGCAAACAAATCGAATCAGAATGACCTGTGGCATTAGTAGGTTCATGCAAAGGATGTCAATAGAAGGGAGAAGATGAGTAGAAAGTATGTAATGAAGACACAAGATGCTGAGAATTCAGAACGTGTTTATCAGCATCTGAGATTGCATTCAGCTGTGATGTCCTGTTTTGTTTGTTTTCCGTGATGTTCTAGCAGTCAGCTGTTTAGCTCCAGCATACCTGCTTGTACATGGGGAATGATGCCCAATATGAATCTCTTTCTAAGAAAATGAGGCAAATACAGAAATCTGCACGGGAATGAATAGGGTTGAGAATGCAAACTCCATGTGACTGTAAGCTTGAGGAAACAAACTGAAGTTGCGCTTCCCAGTAACTTTAAAGCCTAGCCATTCACCAATAAATTAAGTGAATTAGTGTTTATTGCCTTCAGGAACCATTTTTCTGGAAATGTGGAAAAGGATTAATGCAAAACTGGTTTATGAATGGGATGTTGAAAACTTTGAAAATGATGAGCCAGCCAGACCTGAGTTTTATGGAACAAATGTTAAAAAGGTACTTTTTTTCATTACTTTTTAAATTTCTTATACTTGACTATATTGACTTGTACTGTCTAGTCATACATGGTGTTGTTTACTAGATGTTAATAAACTCAATGTCTTCCAAAAAGGTAGAAAAGCCCAATTTTTTGGGGGCAAGGATTTGAATTTGATTTATCAATTAATATGAAGTGCCTACTTGTTTGGATGTTGGTACCCTGGTCCATTTAGTTAGAAGATGGATCATGTGTATTTATAGATTGAGTGAGTGACAGAGAGAAATCCCTCAAATTTAAATACCTGTAAATTCTTTCAGAATATTATTAGTATCACTTTTATCGTAATAAGTGTTAATTTAAGCTTGTATGGTACATACTTGTGCTCTTTTAGTCTCCAAATAACAAACTTTCTTTTTTCAATTAAACAAAACTGCTTAATCTGAGCTATGGTTCCATGTGTGTAATTCCCTACGTGAGTGCAAAATTGGTGCACTTAGCCTTCTATGCAAAATTGTCCATAAGTGGACATGGTCCTAGGGTGTGCATCCTAGGTAAAAACTGAGGACCTCTTTGGTCTACGTTTTGGAGGAATTCCACTATTTACAACATGTGGGAAACCTGTAATTGGAATGCATTTGTTAACAGGCTAAACTTCTGCAAGAATGTGCCTTGGTTGACCAAGGACAAGACTGGAATATATGATCAATTCATCAAGTATAAGTCTGAAAAATTGAACCTTCTGTTTTAATCGGGCATTTAAGTTTAGCTGAACATAAATTTAATACACTGAAGTAAAAGATGGGAATTTTGCAATTGGCTTTGGTAGTATCTTAATTGTTTGATCCAACAAAAGTGAACAGAAAGGAAGGATGAGGTGATGGTTTCACATTAAGCTATCTGAGTGCAGAAGTGTGCACTTAACTCCCACAGCACTGCAGTAACATTGCAGTGGAGACAGTGATCAACATGGTCCTGTTATGTAGGTCTGAAGAGAATCATGTGCCTGATTTTATATAATTTCAAAATCTTTTGTACTCAGTTGCAGTCTGGCCATTACAGTAGAGGTGGGCAGATGGAACCTTGTAAAAAGGCACTGAAGGCCACTTTGAACTCTTGTAATTTTGGCTCCTGGTGCTTCAGGGAAGCACACCATGACAGCATGCCTGCTAAATCAGTTTAAATGAATTTGAGATACCAAGACCTAATGTGTCATTAAGGTCGCAAGTTTTTGTTTTTTTTTGTCCTAATCTATCTGCTTCAGAGATGCTATCACCCACCCCTGAAGCAGGTGGGACTTGAAGTGGGCCTCCAGTCCCAGAGGAAGGGACACTACACTGCACTACAGGGACCCTCAATTATGGTAACTTGTATATTGGCCACACTTCTCTTACCATTTTAAGCCAATCAATATGTGGGATAGGCACTTCCTGCCATTTGCTGAGATTTTCTAAAATGGATGATTCCATCAGACCAGGAAGAGGAAACCTGGTCATCCTATTAGGTCTAGTTAACATGTGTAACTTCTCCCTTGAGTGTCTGACTCTCTCCAAATCATTGTATTGATCAGAAAACTGGAACCATAGTGTTACCATAAACATCTTTTGTGTGAGGAATTGCTGTCACTTTATTTAAATGTTTGATCTAGACATATGACTTTTCAAAAAAAAAACTGAACAATGTTTTATTTCAGCTTTACATTTTGCTACTAAAGATGTTAAATATATTTGAACATTCAAAAGTGAGTACAAAACCATTTAGCTGTAGACAACAGAATAGATTTTTGTATGCAATTCTTCTGATTCTTTAACTTGAAGATCCTTTTCTGAATAGCACAAATTTTAATCCTAAAGTCACAATTATCTGGCCAATCTTGTTCCTGCTATAGACTGAAAGTAACATTAACATGGCTGATTCATGAAATCTGCAACTCAAATTCTGAAAATGTAACCAGTTCCTTGGTGGAAGCATTTAAGAATTTTGGGGGATCTTTTACTTAAAGAATTCAGGTAAAAAACTCTGCTTTTGCTTGCTTTTCACAATCTTCAAAACCAAAATGATATAATGAGAGGCACAGGATAGTGCAAGTTGTCAGGATGTAATTATAAGAGTTAACAAAATTTTACATCAAATTTAACCTGACCCTTTTTAGGATCATCCAAGCAACAATTTTTTTTTTTTTTTTTTTTTTGGTTTTTAAATGTCTGGTGAGGCTGCATTCTCCAATAAATGTTTGCTTCCATGGACAGTGGAAACTGGCTTAATTTTTCTCTTGATAAAACTTAAATCATTCTCTTTAATGATACATTATTAGACTGTTCCTTACAAATATATCTGGAAACTTCTGAAGAATTGTTTTGTTCCTTGTTCCAAACACACCATGTTGGCCTATTCACCTGGGAATTTATTATTCGACTTTCGGTATTGAGCTTCTCAGTGAGAAATGATGTTTGTTATTGCCTAAGTGCAGCATTGTGGGGTTTTTTGGTACAGCTTGAGCTGATGTCTGAAGTCACAAGGTGGTAACAATTGGAACAGATTGCAACTCAAAATTATCCCTCTGGTTTGGTTGCATTAATGCCATCTTTACATTTTGAAGGAGGAATGAAGGCCACTTTTTAGTCCAAGTTCAGCAAGCACTCTGTCACTAAACACACCCTCTCATTTTACACAGGTGGTTACCTTGACTCAATGAAAAATAAAGTATCAAATTGTGACAGATTTGTTGGGGAAGGAAGCAAAAATAATTGCAGAGTGGAACTGCTCTAGTTTAAATGGACTTACTAAAGTCACTTTTTGAAGTCAGTCAATACCTTTCTTTTTGTGAGAGCCTGGATTAAAGAATGATGAGCCTGGTGCATGGTATTGTACTCGACTACATAGACACATTTAGAAAATATCTAGAAGATGAACGTTCATGAATGTAGTCAAGACTACATATGGATTTTCAAAATATGATGCCAACCTGAATTTTCTGCCCATTAGGCAGGTCCAATCCACAGTGTTGCACTGTCCACCTCCAGTTCAGAGGGTTGGGTTCTGAATCCATCCAAGCTGGACCATGGATTGAAACCTATGCTTTTGCCACTAATCTGATCCATGCTAGGCATTCTGTCAATTCATCCTCTAAGGAATTGGACTTGCAGAAGCCTGCCATCAATGTAATGCTTTAAATGTACAAGTTGCCAGTCTGTTTGGCCATATCACAGACATACCTATCCTTGGCCATCAGGTGATGTAATGGGATTTTAACCCAGAAGTTCTGGTTACCCATTATGTAACAAACCTCACTATAATACCCTAACCATCAAAAATCAAGGCTAGATCAATTTTAGTATCTATAATTGTTCAAATATCTGACCTTCCAGCATCTGAGTGGTGACTTGCATGCTTTCCCGAAAGTGGGATTTGTTAATAGCACATGTTTGCCAAGTGAAAAGCTGTTGTGCTGAAATACAATATCAAAGATGAATGACAACTGCCATATTTAATGTAAGAGTTATTACTATCCAGAGAAACATTTCTGGACTTGGGATTAAGACATTCCATACAATGTGACTAAGGGGAGTAAAGTCATTACACGGACAGTCCAATCCGAGGAGCCTGAGGGGTTTTATCTGTTATTGAGTAAACTGATGAACATTTTAATCTAAAAATAGAATGATGCAGATACTGGAAATCTGAAATACAGGAAATGTTGGAGATCCTGACCCAGTAGGAAACACCTGGTGAGAAATTCATCCTATATTTCATCAGAGCTTTCTTCAGAACTAGAAGAAATATTTTTTTTCTTTTTTGGGGATTGTAGCTACTAAGACTTGCCTGGAGACCAGATGACTGCATTCCCTTGTATATTAGGCTTCAGTTTGTATTGCTCACTAGGTAAAGGAAAATCTTGGTGTGGACAAGCAGGAGGCTGGAAGAACACAGCAGGCCAGGCAGCGTCTGGAGGAAAGGAGCAGTCAATGTTTCGGGTAATACCCTTCTTCAGGACTGTGTATCTTTGGTGTATGCTGCCTATCTCTTGAACTTATTCACATTTCTCAATGTAATAACCAAAATTTGCATCAATATACTGTAGCATTATTTGTGCCTTCAGAACATCGTTAATCTTCTGGCCGAAATTTGAACATGTGACCCAAGTGTGTGATGTGCAGCTTTCACATAGGCAGTCTCTAGTTGATCTGAATTGGTATTGGATGAGGGGCAAATGTTGGCTAGAGGGATATATTTTGCTTTGGCCATCAGGAACTTATTTCTGTTCTTTCAAAAAGGGTCCCATGAAATCTGCAACCAATTTTTAACAGGTGGATCACACTTCAGCACCACTTCCAGAAAATGAACTTTGGTGAGACGGCACAATGTGCTGAAGTGACTGCCCTTACCAGCTGATCAACCAGTTATGAGTAATATATATACATTTATTTACCTCTTTTGTCATTAAATATAGCATCATTCAAGCTATTCTGGATGACCAGTTTGATCTAAGTTTTTACAGTCCAGTTGTGGTGATATGGCAGACTAAATGAGGCTGGATTATCCACTGTTATCCAGAGAACTGTTGATGGTGCAGCCTGCTTATTGAGACTTGAAAGTAAGACTGGTCATTTGACAGTGAGATTTTTTTTTAAGCGTGGCTTTAGGCAATGCTGATCCTTTTTTTTTTAAAAAAGGAAATACCAAGCCAGAATTAATGAACTACATATTTCAAATGTTGAATGTAGGGCCAGAGATTTTAGTGCAATGTCTTGGGGAAATATCATCAATGTTACTAAAAGGAAACCATTTGCCCCTTTTACACTGGCCCCAGACATTTGGTTATGAACCTTGAAGGACAGCTCCAGACTGGCTGCCTCTTTGGATATGGGCTATTTAGATATTAGCTAGGAATGCCAGTATGTCCCAGCAATGGCAACTACTTCTGCCTATGGCAAGTGGGAGAATCTGGCTAGTGTCAGACAAGTGGGGTGCCATAGGGGTGTTACTTAATGAGGCAAGTTTGGGATGACTGCCTGAGGAAATTCTCACTAGGCTTCAAACCCTTTATGAAAGTCAAAAATGACACTGTTTGTTTGGTTTCTGGTTGAATTTTAATCAGCTATGTCTTAGCCTCTTTTTTTAGCATTTAAATCAGACATTAAAACATCATTGGCTTGTCTGTGCCCAAGATTTTAAAGTGACCATCCACGTAGCTAACTCCCATTTAGGTGCTGTTGTTTATCATTTTTCAAAAGTTGTCATTATCCTGGAGAACAGTTCCTATTTTAAAGCTGCTATCACAAGGACAACGTATAAAACAATTGCAACTTGCATTTGCTGTAGGAGCAAGTTGTTCACTTGTAATATTGATATGTTATTAGAATTTAGTTGCTTCAGATGCTAGAATGCTTCACCGCCTGATAATAATTTCATCACACCAGGATAATTATCTTGACTTGAAGACTTTTTGTTTCCAAATCAGAAAGATTTAATAAACCTGCAAAGCTTTTGCTCAGTGTTCCTTTCTTACCTGGTGGTACCAATTTCTTTCTGCTGCTGTGCAGAAAGTGTTGAATGTTTGTGAAGGTGAAATTCTAATTGTGTTGGTCTGGGGAAAAAAGCAGATTTTATCACTGAAGGTGATGTCAACTTTGTTGATGGCCTTCTTAGTGGAGAACCAAGCTTCTAGGAATTCCCATGCTTGTCTCTGTTTGGCCTATGCCAAGATCCTGGTGTTGTCCCAATTGAACTGGTGGTTTTCCTTATCCATGTGGATAGAGATGAGTATGTATTGGTTGTGTCTTTTTGCTTGTTGATGTTCATGTACTGATGTGGCTAAATTATTCTTCCTGTCTGTCGCAGTCTTTGCAAGATCTTGTATATGACGTTGGTTGGTTCTGTCCATAGTGGGTAACGGGTCTTTGGTTCGGGTGAGCAGTTGCCATAGGGTTGATGTGTTTTGTGTGCTACTCTGATGTTCAGATGTGTTCTTGTTGTATGGTAGCATGATGAGTGTATCGGGGCATGCAGTATCTTCCTGTTTATGAAATAGGCATCATCTGACCCAGTTGTTCAAGTAACCATTGTCTTTGAATACTTGGAAGAGGGTACTTGGCATAGTTCTGGGTTGCTGCAGTGTGTTGTTGTCCGTTTAGAGTTTTCACATGCTGTGTGTGTTTAGGGTGGTTGCTGTTGAAATTCAGTACTTGGTCGGTTTGTGTGGCTTTCCTGTGTACTTTTGTCAAGAATTCCCCATTTGGTCCTGCGTTCTACCATCCCGTCCAGGAATGGGAGCTGTTCATTCCTTTCCTCCTTTCCCTGGTGAATTTGATCCCAGTGAGTGTGGTGTTTATTAGTTGATGTGTTTCCTCTAGTTTGGCCTGTTTTAAACAGGCAACAACACACTGCAGCAGCCCAGAACTATGCCAAAAAGAAGAGGAGTACCTCTTCCAAGTAGTCAAAGACAGTGGATACCTGAACAACTGGGTCAGATGATGCCTATTACACCAGCAGGAAGATACTGCGTGCCCTGACACACTCCTCACACTACCATACGTCAAGAACAGCATCTGAACTAACGACAACATTCCTTCGACCATCAGAGTAGCACACAAAGCCACATCAACCCTATGCCAACTGCTAACCTGAACCAAAGACCCGTTACTCTCTATGGACAGGACCAACGTAATATATAAGATTCCTTGCAAAGACTGACAAATGTTACATTGGACAGCCAGGAAGAAAGTTAGCCGCAAGAGTACACTAACATCAACTAGCACCAAAAAGACACAACCAGCATTTGCTGATCTCCATCCACACAGACAAGGAAAATTGTCAGATCGATTGGGACAATACCAGGATCCTGGGACAGGCCAAGCAGAGACAAGCATGGGAATTCCTAGAAGCCTGGTTCTCAGCTAAGAAGGTCATCGACAAACAAATGGAGCTAGATGCTATATATACTCACCACTGCGAAGGAAAACCAGAAGTGAGGTAATCCAGCTCAACAGACACCAGAGTTTAAATGACAGGTGGGAAAACACCACAGCGCTTCATCGGAGGCTGCACTGATGATGTTACCCAGCATGGAAATGAAACGTCTGTGGAACAACAAACCAGTTCAGCGAGCCAACTAACCACAACGTCCACAACCCAAGCTACAAATCTACTCCAACCTTTTAGAGCAGTGAAAAAAATTGCAAACTATATTTTTTTGGATGTTTTTAAACATTGTATAAATGCTTTTTTTTAATGTGTAACATTGAAAATGGGTCCTGTTGAACTTTCCTAGTGTAAATGTGCAGGAGATGAGGGCATTTCACTGCATCCCAATTGATACGGTGTAAAGAATGAAAGTGAAGCATTGATACGTTTTCAATGCTCCCCTTTTTAATCCGTATCCTAGGTCCAACCAGGAAGGAAATATTGCTGGATTTGTGTGCTAGAGAATGTGTGGGCAAAGTACCTGTAGGGGAATATTTGGTTATTAGTGGTTAGGTTTAGATGAGCAATCTAAAGTAAAACTTCTAAATTGGAAGATGGATACATTGAAAAGGACAAGAGGGCATTTACCCAAGGTAAAGTTGAACCAAAGATTGTTCCATTGCAGGTTTTCTAGTCAATGGTGATCTTTTGGGAGATATTTTTGGTGTATTCCAACTTGGGTGAAAGGTAGGGGAACCAAAGTCTATGATGAAACCAGAAAAAAGGCATATTTTGTATTAAAATTTTCTAATTTGTGTCTGGCCAATTAAGATGAAGTGAAGAAATGATAGTTTAGTGGAATGGTAGCTAATGTAAAAAGGGTATAGAAGCTTCTACCAGCATGTAAGTAGTAAGCATATAGCTTATAAAGTGGATAAAGTTTTGAGTCAGTGATGCACTTGAAGATAAGGTGAGAACACTTAGTTGATACTTTAGTGTTACTAAGCAAGTGGATGCTGACAAAATCTTGGAAGCAGAGATGGTAGAGATGAGGAAAATTGATCAGACAGGATGTACTGAAAAGCTGACTATGCTTTGATTGGATTAGTCACCCTGGTCCAGTTGTCATGCATTCAGGTTGCTAATGTTAATGAGCTAGAGATTAAGGAAGTATTTACCATAATTTTCCCCGGGTATGGAGAGGTTCTCGTGGATTGGAGCGATCTAGAGGTTTGCAGTACTTCCAAGTTGAAGGGAATGTGATGGATGTTGTCTCTAATGGCTTTTAGAAAAACATTTGGCAAAGTATCCTGTAAAAGACTGGTTTTAAAACCAAATAGTGGCACACTGAATAGCTTGGAGTTTAAAAATGTAAATAAGAGTTGTGGTAGTTGGTTTTTGATACTTGTGTATCGGAATGCCGTGTAATATCTCATAGTTTGATAAAATTGTGGTTGTGGGGGAGGATGATACAAATCAGTCACATCAGGACAGTGGGTGAACAGATGAGACAAAATCAATCTGGCAACTGTCTGTCCAGAGAACGGTACGATGGTGCACTTTTGGCAGAAGTGATCGAGATGACAAGCAATAAAGAGTTAATGACATAGTTCGAGCAGAACAGAGGGTCCTGGTGGTTCACGTGCACAGATTCTTGAAGATTGCAAGGCTTATTGAAAATAGTTTGCAAAGCATGTGCAATCTTGTGTTTTCATAAGTATTCATAGAATCCTTAGTGTGGAAGCAGGCCATTCAGCCCACTGGGTCCACAAAGACCCTCGGTATCTCGCCCAGACTCATCACTGTATTTCTCATGGTTAATCCATCCAGCCTGCACATCTTTGGATTGTGGGTGGAAATCTGAGCACCTGGGGGAAACCTATGCAGGCACAAGGAGAATGTACCAACTCAACACAGACAGTTGCTTGAGGATGGAATTGAACATGAGTCCCTGGTGCTGTGAGGCAACAGTGCTAACCACTGAGCCACTGTGCATCCTATTGCATATAAGTATTTGAATACAAAAGCAGGGCAGTTTGTTTTGTTTTTTGAACTTTTTTTAATGTAAAGTTCTAGTTAGCCCATAGCTACAGTATTGCATCCTGTTCCGATCACACTTTAGGAAGGACGTGTGGGTTCTTCAGATAGTGTGCAGGAGATTTACCACCCTATTGTTCTAGGGAGCAGGGGTTCTAGCTACACGTCTAGGTGGGAGATTTGTGTTCTCATTGGAGCTGAGGCAATAGAGGGAAGATTTTTTGAAGGTGTGCAAGATTATAAGTTTAGGAAAAGTAAACAGGAAAAACATATAACTGGTATGGAGACCAGGGCTTTGGGGAAGAGATGGAAATGGTGGGGGTGCAATAAAGACTATAGTTTTGCACTGGGTGGTCATGATCTGGTATTGACTGAAATATTTTTTTGGCAGTAAAATGATTAGACACTTGAGGTACATAAATGTACAGTCAATGGGATATATCAGACAAATGGGACTGTAGGAAAATCCCAAACAAAATAGACAGCTGGCGTGGACTTAATGGGCTGAATGCCCACTTTGTGTTGCTTTGAATAGATGTTATTGGTTTCCCTGACGAAATGAAATTTTATGATTCTGTGTATTGGTAAATTTTATCTTGGGTATTTCACTTTTTTCTCGAAGAATAATTATTTTGGCAAACTGTTTTAAATATATTTAAGGTTGGACAATTTTGTGAAAGATAATTTAGGCATTCATTGCAATTCTAGTTTGTGTCGTCTTTATTTTTTTTTTAGAAAGACAGAGTTGGTCTCCAACCTGAATTTGCATGTGAAATGAGGGTAGATGTTGAATCCAGGTTTTTCTGGTTGTGCAAAACTACAAAATAACTGGGTGGTTAAATTATGGAAATAAAATATTAAGACCATAGAAAGATAAAGCAGTTAAATGAACGTTGTCTGAGTCTTTTCTTTTTTTAAATTTTAAATGTTCATTCATTTTGTAGGATCCAGTAACAAGTGAATTTGAGCCTTATTACCCAGGTACTCTGCGACGCACAAAAATGCTATTTTCATTTTTAGTGGGAATTCTGATGGTAAGTACAGTGTTTGTTTGCTACCCTCTTTTTCATCACTTCCCTGTGAAATTAATTTTGGTCTCTACACTCTGCCACTTCTCTGAAAAGAGATCTGTTAAAACTGCAATGGGAATGTATCCAACATTTTCATTATACTGGTTTGCAGTAGTGTGGAATCTGGTGTGTGCAAACATGACCTTTTTGTGTGTGTGTGTGTGTATTGTAGAACAAATCGCCAGCTATATTTGCCAGATATGAGCATTTGATATTCTTGGAGCAACAAGGATGTGCTCCTCTCAGTCACTTGCCCCACTCACCACACAGGCATACACACACCTACACCCCTACTTAGCCACACACACTTCAAACCTGTAGGTTATTCCTAGCTTCCATAAATCCCCATAAACTAAACTCCTCAAAAAGCCTACAGTGCCCATGTTAAATAATCCCTCAGTTGCATGCATCTATAAAATTTTTATTTTTCTCCCAGTGGGTTCATGTGGTGGAAGGCAGCTCACAAATGTTCGTGATCAACAATCTTTAGGAACTTTGGGCCTGAGACCATGTTGGCTCTGTGCTTACTAGTCTAGTATGGCCCAACTATATTTTTTTGGAAATGACAGATGTTGGTTGAGGAAATCAAAATGTTGCAGGTGCACATTTAATCCTGAAATGGAGGTTTTATATTGCCAGACTATCCCTGCCACTAGTTTTTTGTTTAACACTTGATCTGCAGAAGAGTATATTTTAGCCACATGTTTTCTGATTTGAAGCTGTTAACTATTTGGTCTCTTGGTCTGTGCAAGGTACACAATGTGATTGGGTTGGAACCTGCCAGTACACTTTTTTTTTAATTTTTCCTAAAAGTGTGCATTTCCAAGGGCCATGTTGCAGTTTGTTAAACTTGTTTCATGACTTATTCTGCAGCGTATCATTAAAAATGAGTAAGATCACTGACCAGTTTTATTCTACACCTCTAATCACTGCTTTGTATTGATACAGGTTTGCTGGGTATTTGCCAGTCTTGTTGCAGTGGTTATATACAAAACATGGGCAAGGCTTAGAATAACAACTTCCAGCTCTTTGGAGAGTTTTCTATTGACTACAGTTGGTGCCTCACTCCTCAACGTAGTGTCTATTATAATCACTGGGAAGGTAAGTGCTTATGTTTGTGATGATCCCTGGTTTCAGTCCATGCTTTTTTGACTAAGTCATGAGGTAACACCAATCTTTTGAGGTGTATTGTAACCTCTGTAACTGTTATCTCTATCATTAGGGCTTCTAACTCCCAAAGCTCAACTTACGATAAATATTTAGCTCCATACTTGTAGTTCAAGCTATTGTTGCAATGCATGGATACATAAATATGTTTGTCACTTAACATGCTCTAAGACCAAATTCTCTTGGGTTTTTAATTCCCTCTGGTGCGAGAAATGATTAGTATTGCTACAGATGATGGGTGTTAGACAAAGTCTGCTTACCTGAGCAGAGAAATTTCAATCGAATGTAATTAGAATTTACACACATTTAGTTCATTATAACAAATTTATTATGTAACACAACCTATAAATTATGCTTTGTGGCTAATAGGCACATTGATATCAGACTGTGTAGTTTGAATGGCATTGTTCAGGACAGTATATAAATGAGGGGCCAAGGATAGATCCTTGGAGATTCCAAAGATTAAGGCACAACAGTGAGGAAAAACCATTACAAGTGATCACCTGACTACAATTGGATAGAGAATTGGAACCAGGCAAAGAGATGCAATGGAGAAAGGTGGTGACCATCTATAACAAATACTACAGATGTATTGAGGAAGAACAGATTACTACCACTGTGAACTGCACTTAGGGTCCCAAAGGGCTGTTCTGTTGTGTCTGGGCAGGAAACCTGTGGTTGGGCTCATTTGAGAAAGGGGAGCATGGATATGTAAGATAACCGTGATTTCTAGGACTCCTGAAGAGAAGGAGTTTAAAGATTGGTTTGCAAGGACAAGTTTTTAAAGAAGGGGTTTTTAAGGAGGGTGTTGATGAAAAGAGCTTTGGAGCTGTTTAGTAGGTGAGGAAGAGGGTATGTGCTTATGATATTGGCTGATGTAGTGACCCAGGAACAGAAGTTGACTGGTTTGCAGTTTCATGGAAATAGGATCAAGGGAGCTGGAGGTGAGATTTGTGGGTAAAGTGAAACAACATCGGATAAGAGGGGCAAAAAAAGGGAGTTGGATGTGTGCTCATGACTCTGTTAGGGCAGCGGTGGGGTTTGGAGAAACATTAGAAATTCTGGATTGGTTGATGGAAACAGGGTAAACTGCAGAGTCTCATTTGTAATTTTTGTGGACAGTGGTTTAAGAAGAAGCTCTAATGAAGTGAAGTTGGGGCCTATCCTTGTGGTTAAGTGTTGACAAAGCATATCTTTATGCACCCAAGTAGTGTTAGTTTTACAGTGTGTAATATCAGCAACCTTTTTTCCTTTAGTCCATCTATACTTAATGGATTTGGTCATGAATAAATGCTGTCTCATGCATTTATATCTAGTCACTTTCTGCCATATATGGGCCAAGTTGTGCAACTTGTCTAAATTGCCCTGCAATCTATTATTCCATTTGGGAATAAATGTGCACATATTTTGGTTATTTTCTGCAAATAGAAAATGGTCCTTTTTTTTTTTTGGAAAAAACCTTAAGATTTGCTGTCCATCAAAATGGTTAATTGGTCTTGTGAAACTTCACTTGGCTCCAGTCAGACTGACATCCACTCCTCCCTAATGCCCAACGGGAATTGTATTGTCTCATTTCATTTGACAACCTCGAGCACCTTTTTTCTTTCCTCTCACAGGTCCGTCACTTACTTCCTTAAAGAACTGCAGTAGGATCTGCCTTTTGAAAAGACCTGCTGGTGATTCCTAATCCCTGAAACTTTACAAATGACTACAACTCCCATAATGTACTACTCACTTGAACTGTTTCCTACAATCTGTTGCGTGTCTCCATTATGACTACCTTGCATTTTTTTTTTCCTAAATTGGACCCCATCGCCCTGCCTCCAGTCATGGGACCTAGCATAGACCTCAGTGAGCTGTTGAATATACTCAATGTATTTTTGAGTAAGTTTCACGTATCAGAATGAAATTAATTTGTGGCATTCATTATTTAACAATAGTACTTCTATTTTAGGTGTATCAGATAATTGCGGTTAAAATGACAGATTGGGGTAAGTATCTAAGTATTCTTGCATGTTACTGATACTGTAATTCTGAAAAAGGATGCTAACGCTCCAAATACTTTTTTTTTGTACACTGTGAATGGCATATCTTCGAGCTAGATGTTGCAGGGAGGGGCTGGGGGAGAGGGTGGAAAGATAATGCTGGAAACAGCATCAGTTAAGTTTTGGCAGGGCCTTTTTCTTTTGGGAATCAAGCTTTTTCATTTTGGTGTTTTCTTAAGATGGAGCTATTATCTTTGCCAGCAAACAAATGTACCAGGAATAAATCTTTTTAAATAAGCAATGTTGTTCATTGTATCTGTGACCCAGAGTTGAGACACCCACCACAATAACACTTGCCTCTCACTTCGCTGCCTAGTTCCATCTGCGTAACATCGCTTTAGCCATGCTTGATCTTATCAGTCACTGAAATCCTCACCCATTTCTATTTCTTCTCTCTCTAGACTTGACTATTTCATTGTTCACCTATCCAGTCTTCATTTGGAGACAGTAAGTCAGTCATTGCCTGGCACTTGTGTGGTGTAATTACCACTTGCGCTTTGCATTCCAAACCTGGATATTGTACAAGTCTTGCTCATTTGGTCACAGACTACTTCAGTGTCTGAGGAGTCATGAACAGTGAATGAACATTTGTGATCGTCAGTGAATATTCACACTTCTGACCATTATCACTGCGTAGCTGAAGATGTTTGGGCCTTGACACTACTTTTAAGGAACTCCTGCAGAAGTCTTAGAGCTGAGGCGATTGCCCTCCAATAGGCACAACTATTTTTCTCTTTCTGCCAGGTATGACTCCAAGCAACAGTGTTTGCATTGACTCTAATTTTGCTAGGGTTCCTTGATGCCACACTCCAATGCGGCCTCAATGTCAAGAGTAGTCACTCTTGCACCTCGAGTTTCGTTCTTTTGGCCAGGAACCGAGTGGTCCTGGTGGAACCCGAACTGGGTATCGGGTTATTGCTGTGCAGGAGCTGCTTGTTAGCACTGCTGATGACATCTTCCATCATTCTGAGGATTGAGTAGCCTGATGGGACAGCAATGTGCCAGGGTGGATTTGCCCTGCTTTTTGCATACAAGACCTTGCCTTGCAATTTTCCACGTGGCCGGGTAAACGTCAATGCTGTAACTGTACTGAAATAGCTTGGCCAGGAGTGCTGGGCTCTGGAGCACGCTTCTTCAGTATTGTAGCCAGAATGTTGTCAGGGCACCATTAATCATTGTAGTATTCTGTTCCTGTAGCCATTGTTGATTTATCAGGTGGTGTGAAACATTGTTTTGGCTAAATCATTATATGATTTCAAAAAGGCATTGGATATACCATCTGGGGCTAAAGGGACCAAAGGATATGGAGTGCAAAGCAGGAACAAGCTATCGAGTTGGATGATCAGCCATGATCAAAACAAGTGACCGAGCATGATCAAAGGGCTGAATGGTCTACTCTTTTCTGTGTCTGTGAATCAAATTGGCTGAAACTGGCAACTGTGATGTTGAGGACTTCTCGGCCTCCTTTTAGATGAATCAGCCACTCGGCATTTCTGGTTGAAGATTGTTGCAGATACTTTAGTCTTTATCTTTCTCACCTAATGTGCTGGGCTGCCCAATTATTTGATGGTTTTTTTTTTGTGGAGCTTCATTCTCCAATGAGTTGTTTAATTGTCCATCTCCATTCATAACTGAGGCTGGACTACAGAACTTGGATATGATCCGTTGGTTGTGGAAGTATTATAGTCAATTCTTCGCTTGTTGCTTTGTGGTTTCACACACAAGTAGTCCTGTTTTATAGGTCAACATCTCATTTTTAGGAATGCCTGCTGCTGCTCCTGGCATGCCCTCCTGCACACTCTGAACCAGAGTTGATCCCCCTGGCTTGATGGTAATGGTAGAGTGGGGATCTGCTGTGCCATGCACACCATGTGGCTGTTCAGATTTGAATTGCTGGATCTGTTTGAAGTCTATCTCTTCATAGGATGCTGATTGTGCTACACCACACAAAGGGTATCCTCACTGGTCCTTGAGGAGACCAGTCCCATCTTCACAATGTTCAGACCTAATGATATGATCATGCCCAGGATGAAATCCAATATGTCCTTTCCTTTTGTTGACCTCTGACTCTGTCTAGCAGCAATGTCCTTTTTAGGACTTTGCTAGCTTGGTCTGTGGTGCTGTTGCTGAGCCACACTTGGTAGTGAGCATTGAAGTCTCCAACTCGAAACATTCTGTGCCCTTTCTGCTTCCCCAAATGATGTTCAAGATACTGATTCAGCAGCCATGGCGGGGGAGTCATTTGTGGTAATCAGCAGGAGGCTTCCTTGCCTATGTTTGACCTGATGGCATGAGATTTAATAGGTTCTTGTCAATGTTGTGGAATTCTGTACACCACTGTGCCACAGGACATGCCCAGGGATGGTTATGGTGGTAGCTGGGATATCATCATACTCCAAAGGGTGTTGCTTGATTATTCGGAGACCGCTTTACAGGATGGCTTTTTGGCTTTTGCCTCGAGTAATATTGGAAGCGGATGTGGGCCATATGCAATTAATGGCCAGAATAATGAGGACTAGAGTTTTTCCTTTTTGGAGGCAAAGGTATGATTGAGAAGACCAGTAGCTGCAGAAATGTTGTGTTGAATCTACTATCAGAGGTAGCACAGGTGGGATTTATGGAACCATACAGGAATTGGGAAAATGTTTTATTTGTGAGAGGAAGTCCATATTAACCAGGTTTGGGAGGGAAGGTGTGTAGAGAGCAACACAATAAGGTACTGATGCAATAGATTTTGCAAAAACATGTAAAATGGCATGATCAAGGAGCCATAGATAATGGTTTGAGTTCCTATGAAGTTGCATAGGAGGGCAGTGAACCCAGTAGTGTGTATGATAAATTCATGTGGAAATTTTAAAAAAAAAAAAAAAAAAAAAAAAAATCTGGATGAGAAATGTGTTAAAGCTGAGGCAAGAAAACCATGATAGTTTTCTCACCGAGCCACCATCGAACAGACCAAGATGTGTTTCTAGAAACATCTGTACAATATCCCTCCATGAAGCGTGAATCTTGCACGCCTTTTTAGCAGATTTCTCACTTTATCATGACTTCAACAAAAGTCAGCAGCTGAGGAAAGTAAATAAAAATAGTATGAAAATCTTTTTGCTTCAGCAAATACAGTAGCTTCTGTATTTGTCTCGGGTAGTTCTTTTTTTGCTTTCACTCTGCATGTTTGTGCTTTGGTTCTTTGCTATTTAGTTTTGTTAGGTTGAGCCAAGCGTGCTATCACTATAAAAGTGCAAAGTTAAGGGTCCGTTGGTCTATCAGATGAAGTGTTAAACCAAGACTCAATCTCACCTCTTGGGTGAATGTAAAAGATTCCATGGTGCTGTTTCCAGAAAGGCGGTGGCATTCTCTCCAGTGTCCTGGTTGATATTTATCCATCCTGCATTAATGAAAGATAATCTGATCATTATTGCATCGCTGTTTTTGGGAACTTGTGTTCAACCTAATTGTCACACTACTTGTGTGTAATATGTAGTCACAGTGAAGTGTTTTATTGCTTGTGATGCAGTTGAGGATATCTTGAGGTTGTGAAAGGCAGAATATAAATACACTTTTAGTGTTTACAGTGTTTAGCAATTTGGGCTTTCTAATTCTCATTGCAAAGGAAAAATGCTAACTGCATAGTATTTTAATTTGTCACTGTTGCTCACAGCAATAGTCATGAAATGTGTTACAACAAGTAAATTTTTAAGGAGAATTGAAATGCATTGAGAACACTTTTTTTTTTTCTTTTTAAATTTTAAATCTGACCTGCCTCATTGACTTGATTTAGAAACTTGTTTTATAATTATAGCTGAGAAAATACATGTTAGTTGAACTTTAAAGAAGCATGTTAGAAATGTACAAACAAGGAAATCTGGCTTCTAAAATTGACGCAGTGGTAGGAGGCAGAGAGTGAAGGTGGAAAGCTTTGTGTTGGTAGATGCTGGTGTCCAGTAACGTACTACAGGCATAAGTGCTGGGTCCCTTTTTTTTTATTGTTTTGGTTTTTTATATGCACATATGTACTTGTATACATTATATAAAAATATAGTTGTGTGTGATCTATATATTACACCCTATATATATGAGAATGGGGGGAATGATAAGTTAGTTTGAAGATGACGACATGATTGTCTCACTGTTTGACAGTGAGGGAAAAAAAGATTTTTGGGTTACAGAAGATGTGAAGAGGTTGGTCAGATGGACAGATCAGTGGCAAATATAACTTAACCCTGAAAAGTATGCATATCCAAAATTTTATGCACTTTGGAAGAAGTAATAAGATTGGGGAGTACTCAGTGAATGGCAGGACACTAGGAATTTCTGGGATCTTGGTGCTCGTTCACAATCCCTGAAGGCAACAGGGCAGGTTAATAGGGTGGTTAAAAATGACAGTATACTTGCCTTAATCAGTCATGGCGTAAATTATAAGAGCAGAACTTGTTTTATTGGGTTGTGGTGGAGCAGCGTGCCTGTCCGATCTCTGCACTGTAAGAAAGAGGTGATTGCCCTGAAGGGAATGTGGAGTTAATTCCTCCAGATGTGTGGGGTACAGCAATTTAGCTATGAAGAGAGGCTGAATAAGCTTAGGTTCTCCTCTTTAGAGCAGAGAAGGCCATTAAAGTCCATGGACCAGGAGCTGGAAAGTGGGAAGTGTAGATTTCATGTCGTCTTGTGCACCATATGACTGTAAGATTCTATGACTTTCTGTATCTTTTAAACAGATATGCCAAGTATTACAGCACTTATCCTTTTTACTGAGCCTATTGTTTTATTAGGAATATAAATTCTATTGACTGAGAGCCTTAGACTAGTGCTGTTAGTTCACCAAAAAGAGCTATTAAGCACTTACACTGTCTGTTCCTAATAGTGTTATTGATACCAGACAACACCAATTCTAACAAAACTGCTTTTTCCTGTAGAAAACCACAGGACTCAGACCAATTACAATGATGCCTTGATATTAAAGCTGTTTGCCTTCCACTTTGCCAATAGTTACGCTTCGCTGTTTTACATTGCATTTCTGAGAAGGGTAGGTAATGCAAGGTAGAACATTCATTTTCAAGTATTTGCGGGTTTTTTTTGACAAAACTATTACCTCTTGATATTTAAATCTATTTCTAGAGCAATCAGAAATTTTTTCAATTACTTGGACTGACTGATTTTGAAGATAATTGTGGGGTGCTGAACAATTGCATGTCAGAGCTTGGTGTTCAAGTTGTTATACTCATGATCTTCAAACTATTTCCAAAACTTGTGACGGATATTTTCATACCGTAAGTCTTTGCAATGTTGAACACTTGCTATGTTATTTAAGTGGAAATAAGAGTTCTATTTATGACATTCATATACTACACATGGGCATGTGCTACTTAAGGCTTGGGCTTGAGCTTGAGTGATGTGTGTCATTCATGTTAGGCAATGACCATCTCCAACCAGAGAAACTAACCATTCTGTTTGACACTGAGGTGGCACTACCATTGCTGAATCAACCCACTGAAGGTCACCATTGAAGTGGACCAGCCATATAAATACTGTGGCTGCAAGGATAAGTCAGAGGCTAGAGACTCTACAGCAAGTAACTCTCCACATGTTTCTGCCATCTACAACACCAGTCTAGTGAACTCTTTCTTCTCTCCCACTGCCCCAAAACCAAGTTAGTAGAAATCAATGGTTTGAAAGGGGCCATGACGAGTTGTTGCAATGTGTCGTGTAGATGGTAAACACAGCTACTGCTGTGTGTTAGAGATAGTAGGAACTGCAGATGCTAGAGAATCTGAGATAACAAGGTGTAGAGCTGGATGAACACAGCAGGCCAAGCAGCATCAGAGGAGCAGAAAAAGTTTCTGAAGAAGGGTCTAGGCTTGAAACGTCAGCTTTCCTGCTCCTCTGATGCTGCTTGGCCTGCTGTATTCATCCAGCCCTACGCCTTGTCATCTACTGCTGTGTATTAGTGTTTTTAAATGGAATGAATGTTTAGAGTGGTGAGTGGGGCTCCAATCAGGCAGGGTTCTTTATCCTCACTAGTATTGAGTGACTGGAGTAATGTTGGCACTGCACTCCCAGGCATGTGGAAAATATTCCATCTCTCAGTTCTGGCTTCTGCTTTGCAGACGATGGTAGACAAGCTGTGAGAAGTAAAGAGATTCTGGCTGTTCCAGTTCAGTTTCTGGTCATTTGTTAGTTATAGTTGATAATGGGGAATTCAAAATGATAATGCCATTGAATGTTAAGTACAGATGGTATGGCTTATCCTTGTAAGAGATGGTCATTATTTTGGTATTTGTGTGGTGCACATGTTTCTTGCCGTTCAGTGACCCAGGTCTAGAAGTTTGGGTCTTACTGCACGTGTTAGAGGTCTACAGCATGGAAACCGGCCCTTCAGCCCAACTTGCCCATGCTGCCTAGTTTTATCAATTAAACTAGTCCCATTAGCCTGCATTTGCTCAACATCCCTCCATACCTATCATCCATGTACCTGTCTAAATGTTTGTTTCTTAGATGATAAAATTGTACCTGCTTCCACCATTGTCTGGCAGCCCGTTCCAGACATACACCACTGTCTGTGGGTGGGGTGGGGAGGAATTGTCGGTCTGGATCTTTTTGTATCTCTCCTCCCTCACTTTTAAACCTAAAGCCCCTTAGTTTTAGACTCCCTCCCTTCTTTCTCACTATCTACCTTTACTTATACACCTCATAATTTTAATAGACCTCTAAGGTCACCCCTCAGTCTCCTCCACTCCATATGGAATTGGACTGCTCCAGTTTTTGAGGAATTGAACATCAAGGTATCCATTACATACTTTCTGACCTTTTTTTTTAATGTTGGAGGGAAGGTCATTGAAGTTGAAAATGGTTGAGCCTATGCCACAACCCTAACAGATGTTCAGGGTAATTTATGGTGCAGCAGTAGTGCCACTACCTCTGAACCAAAAAGCTGGGTTCAAGTCCTACCTGCTTGAGGTGTGTAATAACATCCTGAACAGGTATATTTAAAGATATCTATCTACCATGAGGAACTCCCTGCAGAGATGTCCTGGACGTGAGTTGACTGACCTCCAATAACTGCAACCATTGTCTCGTGTGTGGTTCCCCTCCCCCACATTGCTGGTGTCTGCAGGTTTACTGGAGCCACTGGATGTGACATGAAATCAAACGCTGCCTTGATATCAAAGACGGTCACATTCCTTTCACCTCTGCACCTCCTTATCCAATAGCATTGTGTGCCTAAATGCATGGAATGCAGTGATTCAAGAAGCCCAGCAATACCTTATCAAATTGACTGACTGTGCAAGAAGCACAGGCTGATGGGTATTTTTGTGACTGGAACTTTTTTCCTAATGAGGTTCTGCAGAGTGCAATATTAAATTTTTGTGCTTCTGATCAATGATTCAGACTTGACCATGCCCCCACTCTAGAACTCACAGACAATACAAAAAATGATCAGTGTGACTGGTGAGAAAGAAAACTATCTTGTCATAGAGCTGTACAGCATGGAAACGGACCTTTTTGGTCCAACTTGTCCATGCCAATCAAATATTCTAAATTAATCTAGTGGCCCACATCCCTCTACATCCATCCAGATGCCTTTTAAATGTTACTGTACCAACCTCCACCACTTCCTCTGGCAGCTCATTCCATACATGTACCACCCTCTGCGTGAAATAATTGCCCCTTCGGTTTTTTTTTTAAATCTTTCTTCTCTCCCCTTTAAACCTATACCCTCTAGTTTTGGACTCCCCCAGCCTGGAGAAAAGATCTTGACTATGCACCCTACCCATGCTCCTCATGATTTTATAAACCTCAAGTTCACCCCCTCTTCCTCTGGCACTACAGAGAAAATAGCCCTAGCCTATTCAGCCTCTCCCTCCAACCCTGTAACATCCTTGTAAATCTTTTCCAAACCCTTTCAAGTTTCACATCCTTCCTATAGCAAGGAGACTAGAAGTGCACGCAGTATTCTAAAAGTGGCCTAACCAATGTTCTGTACAGCCACAACATGACCTCCCAACTCCTATACTCAATGCACTGACCAATAAAGGCAAACATACCGAACACTGCCTTCACTACCCTATCTAGCTGGGACTTTACTTTCAAGGAACTACAAACCTGCACTGCAAGGTTTTTTTCTTGGTTTTTTTTTGCAACACTCCCTAGGACTGTACCATATAAGTCCAACCCTGATTTTGCCTTTCCAAAATGCACTGCCTCCCATTTATCTAAATTAAACTCCATTCGTCACTTGTCAGTCCATTGGCAACAAAGACTCTCAACCCTCAAATGTTTCCTCATCTGTTTTCAATGCGCACTCACTTATTTTTAAACTCTGATCCCCACTATCAACTGAGGAAAATGTCAATGAACTATACTGTGATTAGGAAATGGGCAAATGGAATTCAATGGACAGAAGTGAACTGCTGTGTTTGGGGAGGAAGAATAAGGCAGAGAAATAGTGGCCCAGACTGCACAGGGGAGGAGTTGATAGCAAACTGATGCAAGAAGATTAGTATTTGCTGAGTATGTCCACCATTTTCTGCTTTTATTCAGATTTCCTGAACCTGAAGTATTTTTGCTTTTGAAGGCTGAAAGCTATTTATAATTTATTTCCTGTGCACTATTTTATATCAGTGAGAAATCTTTGCTTCAATCCAGAAAAGCAGCAAACCATGTTGACTAAAAGCAACGTGCCCAACAACATAATTTCACATGTATCTTTTTGAATATTATATAAATCAGTTGATGGTTTGAGGAAAAGTGATCAATATAAAGTGTTTTTTTATATATAATTGCACTGCATACCCTCCAACCCAACATCTTGCATTTTAAAAAGTACTCTGCTTTTCTGGATGATTAATGGATTTTTTTTTTGTTTTAAATTCACATAAGTCTGAGATTGTAGACATGCTCGCTGAGCTGGTCGGTTTGGTTGCAAACATTTTGTCACCCTGCTAGGTAACATCGTCAGCGCGCCTCCAGTGAAGTGCCGGTGTTCTGTCCCACTTGTTATTTATATCCCTTGGTTTGCAGGGATGGCTGGTATTACTTCCACTTAGAATACCAGGCCTCTGGGAATTTCCTGGCAAATCTGTTTTGGCTTGTGCAATTATGGATGTGTTGTCCCAGTCGGATTTGTCCCTTTTTTTTTTTTTTTTTTTTTTTTTTGTCCATGTGTAGTGAGACAAATGAAAATTGGACAACAAAGGACACTAATTTAACTGGGACAATACATCCATAATTGCACAAGCCAAACAGAGACACATAAAGGAATTCCTGGAGGTCTGGTATTCCAACCAGAACTCTATCAACAAATGCATTGAATTAAACCCTGTGTACCAACCTCTGAGAAACAAAATCGGAAGTCACACCAACCACCCCAGCAAACAGGCATACTAATAAGTGGGACAGAACACCGACACCTCACCTGGATGCTCACTGACTATGATACCTAGCAGGGCGATGAAACATTTGCAACCAAACCCACTGATTCGGTGAGCATGTCTACAACTTCATCCACAATCCATGCTATGAATCCTGTCAAACTTCAAATAAGTCTCTTGTAGTCTGCTGTGGAAAGGGCTGAGCACCCAAATGAATACGAAATACTTTCACAGTTCTTGATCTAATTGGATCACAATCAGAAATTACACACACAAACAAAGCTGTAAAGTATGAATATTGTATTTGCACCTTTTTCATTCTTGATGTCTCTTGCAGATGGTTGCGGAAATCTAAAAACAGAATCTACAGCAAGTTAAAAGTGACGTTATCTGCACAAAATAGTTCACAATTAACAGTGGATGATTGTATTATAAAAGAATCCATGAAACCAGACCTTGGAGATTTCACACTGGAGGAATACACAGAGAAGATCATACAGTATGGTTACCAAATGGTACAGTTGAATATTTTAATATGGAGACTAGAAAAAATAGCTTTTTGAAATCTGAAGTTTAAATAATTGCATACTGACAGATTTTTGGATTATGGATTAGGAAACCCATGTATCTGCTCTCCACCCTATCTATTCTTGCTCTTCACCACCTCTGCTCTTTTCCAAATAATAATTTTAGAAAATCAATTGAATTTAAATTCTTGGATTAATTATTTGGAATATCTTTTCCAGCTTCTAATTGAGTGGCATTGAATCATCCCAAGAAAATTCTAATATTGTACATGTTCACAATTTTCAACTAAATTGTAGCTCCAAGTAACACAATCAATTCTAAAAGCCCTATTCCTGGATGGGACAAGGTTTAAAAGATACTGATGACTACTTTGGTAAATCATCATCACCTTTGTGGGAAAATAAATTTTTTTCACTCTCTCTAGTATTTCAAATACAGATGGTTAAAATATCAGATGAAGAAGCATGTTAAATGATTTGTGGGTTGCACTATGTAGGAGTACATTTCTATGAAGGTCAGTTTGCAGAGGGCATCTATCATTTCAATTTTTTTTTTAAATGCACTTAGTTTGACCCAGCAGCAATGAAGGAATGGAAATATATTTGAGTCCAGATGTTGCATAGCTTGGTAGGGCAAGGGATCTTGATTTGATGCTGTGCCTTTGCATCTGCTGCCCTCACCTATTTAGGTAGTAGAAGTTGCAGGAAAGTGCTGTGCTGTCGCCTTGATAAGTTGCTGCAGTAAATCTGTCGATGGTATACACGGACTCTGTATGTTGCTAGAATGATGGAATGAATCTTTGTGGTGAATGGCATGTGGTTAAGCAGGTAACCATGGATGGTATTGAGCTTGAGTGCTATGTGAGCTGCGCTCCTCCAGTAACGTGTATCATTCTCACTTACTCCAAAATTGTACCTTTTTGTAAATGCTGGAAGACATTGGAGTGTCATGCAATTCCTGGATTAAGAGTATAATGATAACCATAGGAGCATGTCGATTCGTTGGAAAAACCAATCTCATTCAGTTTCCTTCCCTGAAAGGCATTAGTCATCCTTATCTGATCTGGCCTACATGTGACTTCAGACTTTCAGTTGACACTTAAATGCCCTCTGGGTAATTAGGGATAGGCAATAAATATTGGCCTAGCCAGTGATGCCTGCATCCCATGAATTTTTTTTAAAAAAAACTCTTCCTACAGAATTCCCAGCCACTTATCTGCTCTTGTAGTCAAGTATTTATAGGGTTGATTCTGTGATTCATTTGAAACCTAATCGTTGGTGATTCCCAAAATTTTGACCGTGGCGAATTTGATGATGGTAAAACCCTTGAACGTCAAGAGTGCTTAAAAATTGTCTTGTTGGAGATGGTCACTGCTTGATATGTATGGTGCAGATATTTCTGCAGATACTTATTTGGACATATTTACTACTTTTCAGTTTTGAGCACTTACTTTAAGCATGAAAAGACACTTTTTACAATTTAAGGAATTATCTATATTTAACATAGACATTCATTTGAAAGTATTATTGATTTTGACCAGTTCCAAATTTTGTTTCCAGCTTTTTTCCGTCTCCTTTCCTCTGGCACCACTTCTTTTCTTCATAACCATTCTGTGTGATATACGTGTTGATGCCAAGCGACTGTTATGGATGTATAAACGCCCCATTGCTTTCATGGCTCAAAACATCGGTAGGATATTGTATGAATGACTTGTATCAGGATTTGTTTAACTGAAAATGTTACATTGACTGACTCAACCCAAATGCATGTGAAGTAATTAAGCATTGTTTCCTAATTCTCATTCTGTGACCATGGAGAAAAGAAAATGATGGTATGATATCAATCCACTCTTCTAATCTTGAGATAATCTTGATTTATCAAACTAAAGATCTTAATCTCGTTTTGCGTGGAACTGTGACACTGTTTCGTTCAAAAAAACATCTTGGGTGAGGTAAGACCTCTTGGATAATGCAGTGAATGAGGAGTCAAGCTTTTTAAATTTGAAGATTATTGACTGTGACTGTGTTGCATTGCTTCCTGGATTCTTGATTTGTAAAGGGGTTCAATTTGTGAAAATAGTCATTAATTGATCAGTTACTTTGATTCAATTGCATATTCACTTCAGTCAGATTGTGTTCCCAATCCCACTTCAGAAGCCAGACTGAGACTGTTAGTATAGCATTCCTTCAATAGTGTACTCTTGGATATTTTTGCTTTTCTAATAGACTTCAAGCCTGTCTGCCACTTTTTAAAAGGAATCTATAGGATAGTACTGTTCTCAATCAACAATGAAAAAGGCTAAAAATGAAGAACTGAAGATGTTGGCAATCTGAGCTTTTAAAAAAAAAAGTGCTGGAGAAACTCGGCAGGTCTGACGGCAATATCTGTGAGAAACAAAAGATGTGGCCCTTTTATTGGACTTTATTTTTCACTCCACAGAAGCTGCCACTCCTGAGTTGCTCCACTTTCTGATTCGGTAATAAAACCACTTAACTGCACATTAATTTGTTTGCTGCATACAGGTCCTTGTTACTGAATTGACAGAAGTAACTTGTGATATTCTGAAGATGTGAAATCATTGACAATTCGGTCAAAAAAAAATTCACTGTCTAACAATGGCTGCCATTTAAAATTTGTCAAATTGTGAGCTGTTGCTAGTCCCTTTTAAACTGGGCCATTAACAAGGAAGTCAAAACAAAATTAAATTATTCTTGATATCAGGTGATACTGTGATCATGACATTCTGCATGCAACTTTGCTTGAATATGAACACAGGACCAAATGACATTTCTCAAGCAAATCTTTACACTACACTTCTCTCAATCTCTGAAATAATTCTTAACGAGATTTGAAGAAATCTCCGACCTCATCCCAAGACCAGCCCGTCTCGACACACACCTCCTTGACCTGTCCATCTTTTCTCCCACCTATCTGCTCCCTTATCACTGACCAACCCCCACCCTCACTTCCTATCTACTAGCCTCATCCCCACCTCCTTTGACCTGTCCACCTTCCCTCCTACCTACCTGCCCCTCCCTCCTCACTGACCACCCCCCATCCCAACTCCCTACTTACACTCTGCCTTTACTGGCTTCAGCCCTGCCTCCTCAACCTGTCCGTCTTTTCTCTCCACCTATCTGCTCCTCTATCCACCTTCTATCTTTGCCTCCCCCTCTCTCTCTATTGCAGAACCCCCTTCCCCTCCCCCACTTCTGAAGAAGTGTCCAGACCTGAAATGTCAGCTTTCTTGCTCCTCTGCTGCCTGGCCTGCTGTGTTGATCCAGCTCCATACCTTGTTATCTCGGACTCCAGAATAGGCAGTTCCTACTATCTTTCTTGAATAAATCTAGTTGTGCCTCAATTGTAAATTGAGATGAAAGGCAAGAATTTTAGATGATCAGGTAGTATTGAAGCTTTGTTAAAAATCTGTCTAGAGGTACAAAAATGGCATCTTGCTATACTTTAAAAATGTTTTAATAGCTCATTTGGGCTAACTTTCAGAAAATAAATTGCCAATCTAGTATGACTGTCTAGCATACATTTGTCGTAGATTCTCATTATTAGCTGTTTACTTGTTTATAAATTGCATGTATTTGAAGTAATGGAAAATGTCTATCCCACTCTTTTTTTTTCAGGTCAGTGGTTGACAATATTAGATCTGATCAATGGAGTAGCAGTGGTGACCAATGCCTGCGTGATTGCTTTCAATACAGATTTTGGGAGGGAGAGGCCCTTTCATGAACAATTGATCATCCTCATTGTAATTGAGGTACAACTTTATGATCAAATCTCACTTAGAAAGATTTGAATTTTTCAACAATATTCAATTCTATTTTGCTGGATTTGCGTAACTTTACATTTCTTGATATTGCTATTTAACGAAAGAGGAAAGGATGAGTTTGAGAGTTTTGATCTTTGTTATTCTCCGTGCAAAGCTTTGGGAAATCTACAAAGTCAAGAATGGACCTTTCTCTCAGTCACTGTACTTTTTAATGCGACTTTGTATCGTGTGAGCTGGGTTGAAGAAAAGGTCTAGTTCACAAACAATACATTTGCTATATAATTTTGCTTCACGTTTGGGGGTTTTTCATGAGCCATCCAAGAGTGAGGATCTGCTTCCTACTTCTGTGTACTTTTGTTTAGTCCTCCTAGAGCACACCATTGTAGTTCTTTAAATTCTTGCCTAATTCAGCCAGAGTGAAGTGGGATCTCTGTAGGCAGCAGGCTCTGACCACAAGACCATAATACATCCGTGCAGAAATGGGCCATTCAGCCCATCAACTGTTTACCATTCAATGAGATCATGGTTGATCTAATAATCCTTCACTTCGCACTGCTGTCTTTGTCCCATAACCCTTGATTCCCTTACTGATTAAAAATCTGTCTCCACCTTGAATATGCACAATGACCCAGTCTCAACAGCCCTCCTGTGGCACAGAATTCCATAGATTTGCTATCCTACTGAGTAGAAATTCTTCTCGTCACCTTAAATTGTGATCTCTTATTCTGATATTTCCTCTGGTCTTACACTCTCCAACAAAAAGAAATAACCCCTCCATCTAGTCAAGTCCCTGAAGAATCTTGTTCCTTTCAATAAGGTTGCCTTTCATTGTTCTAAACTGCTGCAAGTACTGATCCAGCCTACTCAACATCTCCTCATAAGGCAGTCCCTTTGTACCTGGTTTCAGTCTGTTGAACCTGTTCTGAACTGCCTCCAATGCCAGTATTGCCTTCCTCATTAGGGGCCCAACACTGTTCACAGTATCATGGTCTGGATAGTATCTTTTTGTGTAGGTTTAGCATAACATCCCTAATTCACTCTCTTTCCTATGAAATAAAGGTCAAAATTCCATCTGTCTTCCTTATTACCCACTAAACTTGGATGCTAGATTTTTGTGATTCATTGATGAGGACTCCCAAATCCTTCTATTCTGTGTAGCTTTCTGCAGTCTTCCTCTATTTTAAATAATCTCCACTCCCCGCCAAAATTAATAACCTCATTTCCCCATATTGATCTAAGTTTCGCCCACTAGATTAACCTGTCTATATTCCTCATGCAGACTGTCCTCATTACTTGCCTTCCTGCCTACTTGTCATCTACATATTTTGGCTACAATGCATTTGCTTTCTGCATTAAAGTCACTTTATAATGTAAATAAATGGTCCCAGCACTGATACGTGTGGCACACCTCCAATTACAGGTATGCAAGGTTGACAATGCACCAAGCATGAATCCATTTTGTTAAACCTGGTTTTAAAGCTCAAAAATAAAAAGGAAAGTGTGCAACAAGCACAGAATTTTCCAAGGAGCAAATTGCAGATGCTGAAATCTGTAGTGAAAACAAAAATGCTGGAAATCAGTGGGTGAGACAGCAAGCTAATGTTTCGAGGCTAAAATGACTCTTCTTCTAAGATTCCTTTTCAATATTTGGAGAAAGTGGGTACTTCTGTCCCTAATTTCAAGACCTTTTAATGGTTGGGACTAGAGTTCTCAGAACACATGTGCATGCGTGCACACACACACCATTGTCCTGGCTAAGGGTATTCAGTTGGGACTTTTCTGATGAAGGGTCCAGGCCCGAAACGTCAGCCTTTCTGCTCCTCTGATGCTGCTTGGCCTGCTGTGTTCATCCAGCTCTACACCTTGTTGTCTTGGATTCTCCAGCATCTGCAGTTCCTACTATCCCTTGCATTCAGTGGTGTTGGGAGGGATGGTGATCCATATGTTGAAACCTTACAGCACTCAATTAGAGCATTCATGTACTTTTTTCCAAGAAACCACTTCAAGTTTACCTGAACTTTATAAAATAAAGGATGTAAGTTACGTGAAACCTATAACTGAAATGAGCTACACAACATTTAATGCTGGTTGCTTGTTCACTGGAAACAAATGTGTTGTGTTGTCTCTGATTTGGATCAAGTTCTGGAATTCTGTCGTTCCTCTTCAAGAATATCCTTAAGCTTGGTGCTGTCTCACTGTTTTGCAATCTTGTTTTTCATTCTCAACAATTTCTGCAATAAAGGTGCTGCATAAACATGTACAATGTAACCAGGAGGAAAATATTTCTTTTAGCATATAGTGTTTGTGGTGAAGTTTCTGCTGTCGACTATCATACCAGATGTTCCTCAACGTATACTCCTGGCAATGAGGAAGGTAAGTCTCTTTAATATACGACACCATATTGTGTCATTATCCTAACAAGGAACTGATTTTCTTTTCTTTAGAATTTGATGTTTAGTTGTCCACCATGCTAGTTAAGTATTTTTGGAGTTACAAACATATATGCACATACTTGGTAGTATTGATCGATTGGTACATTTTATCACAAATGAGAACTGATATTTCTCTGCATTCCATTGACCATGATACTTCCAATTAAACATAAAAATGATAATGGTCTGGATCTTCTGGTCTCTAGATAGTTGGTCAGAAACCAGATGTAACCTGAAAGATGCATCAGGACCTCCCAAGAGTACATAGGAAGTTCAAACTTGCAATAAGCAAAATCCTGTTGGCTTTAGCCCTCTGATAGTCTCCAACTGTGAATCAGAGACTTTGGTGGGTTTTCACTGCCTTAGCTGTTAGCTGAGGAAAGGTAGGAGGGATTAAAATCTACTCTAACTCCTGGCTAACTACAAAATTGAATACCAGACCTTCTACCACTCCTTCTAAGAAAGAAAACTCCCATTTCTCCTACCTACCTGACCCACCCTACCTCTTACTAAAAGCAAAATACTGAAAATGCCAGAAATCTTAAAAAATAATGCTGGAGAAACTCCAGATTTCTAACAGCAACTGGAGAGAGATAAAGTTGACCTTCCAATATGATTCTTCTAAATTCTGAGGAAGAGTCTATATCCAACTCAAACATTTACACTGCTTATCTCTCCACAGATGATGCCAGACCTTCTGAATTTCTCCAGGATTTTCTGTTTGTATCAACTTACCTCCTCACCCCAACCAGTCACTCCTTGACCAATCACCTATACTCTCTTAGCCAATTATCTTACATACTTACCTTCTCCCAATACCTGTTAAGAGGCTTTGAGATGTTTTAAATGGTTTATACATATTGGACCATGATACCTATTACCATAAAGGGCTTGTAAGTTCTACAAAGGTTCACTGTTGATGCCTCTTGGTTGGATTGTTGCACTGCAACTGTTGAGGTTAATCCAGAGTTGTGTCTGTGTGTCTGTGTGTCTGTGTGTCTGTGTGTCTGTGTGTCT